GCGTCACACACAACAACAACAATTTGTATTCCCCCGGCCATTTCCAGGGTTTGTCAATATCAGGATGAGATACATCAATTCCTATTCCACATCTTTTATCAAAGGGGCTAGCTTCAGCTTACTGCTTAGGGTAGGATTGAATCAATATCTGTTTCAAGTCATTGTTCTGGGAAAATTTACCCATTAATGCCTTAGTCATCAAATCCAGACTGACAGTGTCCCACACTTTTTGAGTAAAGCTTTCCACACATCGCCCCAGACGTTTTTGCTTAGCTGGAACAGTCTCTTGAGAATACACGTCACACTGTCCAAATCTCCAAAGTAGATTGCTTTAGAGTACATGTAACACTGTTCCACACAATTAATTGTAACACCATCCAAAGTAAACACAGCTAGATGAAAGTTGCTGAAGGGTGACTTGATTCCATAGAAGAATAGCCAGTGGACTGTCACTTGTGACTGTGATTTGTCAGTTGGAGTCCCTAGTCCCAGCAATGCCATGGCTTCTGTCTCTCCACATTCCCCCAAAGCTTTGCAGAAGAGGGAGTAAGCTTTGGATCCTCGCCGGGGAAGCATATATAACAATTCTCTGACACGGTCAAAGGAGGTTTGAGGTTTTTTGATAATTTCAGCCCTCATGAAGATACTCCATAAGTTTGTCAACCACAGCTTCTACCTGCTTTATAGCAACCACGAGGGCAGAACGATTCTCCCTAAGGATATCGCGGTGAACAGCTTGCACCATTTTCTTTCTTTCTTAGACAACAGAACCTGTAGATTGTCTAAAACGTCTCTGACAGAAACTCCTCTTTTATATACGGTATGATGATGACATCATACGGTGTGTGATGCCATGGTTTTTACCCATGGGTTTTTCCTGTGGGTTTTTCCATGGGTTTTTCCTATGGTTTTTTCTCAACAATGGATGGCGTCGCTTGGGGGGTGGCCATGACATCCACCAGGTCTGTGTCTAACAGGATAAAAAAATGGTTGGGGTGGGGAAAGGGGGTGGGGGTGGACCATGGCATCCACCCGATCTGACTCTGAAGAGAGACGGCTCAAATGAAATAACATTTTATAGATGAACAATGCAATCACATGATATTGGTTAAACATCAGTAGATCATCAACGGAGCATGTCATGTGGTACAATAAAAAGTTCATGGCTATTTGTTCCTAGGTCCCTTTTTGTAGCCGTAGGGCAGAGTTTCCCTGGGGATTCCTTGTGAGTCGTACTGGACTCGACGTTTGGTGTAGACCAAGCGATAGCTTTTGGTGGTGTCCTTGGACAGCAACGTGTGTTTTTGTGTGGGTACGGCACAGTGATGCTGGTTTGATCCCTCTGACAGATGAGGCTCTTCATGCTGTCAAAGTTGACATGTTGGCTCGCCCTTTGATTCTCGGACTTTGCTGAGGTCCACACTATCGTCAGATTGAAGATGACATAGCTTATAGCCATAGTTTTTGGGTCCTGCCGAGACAAAAGACTGAATGATGTTGCCCCCTCCCAGTTCATCAGTCAGCTCCACCAAAGTATCCCCCAGTGGAGGATTGTAGCTTAGTGGCCGGTGAATGTAGATGATGCTGTCCTTATCAAAATAGAGTACGCGCCGATCCAAGGGTTTCAAGTAGGAATACAGTTTGAAATGGGCTTGTGCTGTCACCCAGGCTGCAATCACCACATTGTGTGCTGGATGAGGGTCGTGAAATTCTGGCTGAGGTTCGTAAGTGAAACACACAAGGTCCTCGTTAATGATGTGCACGTCCTTCACCTGACAACGTTCATCCAGGAGGAGGGCAAAGTACCTCTGAGGGGAACTGATGTATTCAGTCTTGTCAAACCCGACGCATTGACAAAACTTGCCCCAGTGGTGTTGCATCTGGGTCTGAACAGCCTTCTGGATATCCACTGGCCTCTTGCTTGATCTTGAAGAAGTTGTCTACATACTTGGCAAACAATCCTACCTCTTGAGTGTCAGGGTCGTAGGTGGTGAGCGTGTCAAAGTGCCAAGCCTCAAAGATGTGAAGCACTTGATAGCCACACTCTCGGACAACATACTGAAGCTCCTTGCTGACGTACGTGCCAATCCATGCCGGGTCTTCATCCCTGTGGGGGCAGGAAGCACCCAGCTGTCCTTCAGCACAAGTACGACACAGAGGAAATAGCAACTTGCCCTGGACACGTTAAGGAAGAACAGGATGATAGAGGTCGGTGGGTGGTAATACTCGGCACTGGATGAGACCCATGTAGCTCGAACAAGTCAGACACGGGAGGATTATCTTTGATCTCAGGATGCCCCACGGGGTAAGTGCCACATGTAAGGGTACATGTGGTGGCGTTTGTGCGTCCTCCAAAGAAGGCCTCTCTGGGATTTAAAGGTTCAGGCATGTAGACATGAGGTCCTTGCAGTGTGGTCAGGAATGCTCTCAGATCAGTGTTTTCTTTCTGTTGCTTCAAAAAATCACATTCCCACAGGGTCACCACTTAGGCGATGTCGGGATGTTGATGTAACACAGCCAGTGCTAGGTTGCTAGATGGCGTTGAAAGCAGTAAGGGTTTTTGGAACCACCCGCCACATTGGAGACAGGAGAGCCCTTCACTGACCATGTCACCACAGAATCCAGGATATCAACACCAGTAGCATCGAAATCCTTGATCTTCAGCGTGGGCGTATCTTTGGTCACAGATTTCACAGTAGTAGGGATAACCTGTAAAAGCTGGCATGGATGTAATGACATCGTAATGTTGATGGTGATGATACAAGTGAAGGATCTTGGTGGGTTGAGACACTTCACTCTTGTACAGGAGATGATTCATCATATCTTGGGAGTAGATTTTGAGTTGGTGGTAGGGTGCCAAACGTTGACCGAACAGTTCCCATGTGGCATGCCCTGTACAAAGGGCCTTCTGGAATGTTGAGTTGACGAAATAAGCTCTTGGCGGCCTTCAACTGCACTGGTCTCTTTTCGTTACATATGTACCGCCATTTGCTGGTCCATTGCTTCTTTTCCGAGAAGGCGTTTAAGCCAACAATGTGTGTTGCCCGTCCGTGTCCCTGGCCTAGGAGAGCCGGATCGTCTACGTGTAGTAAGTAAATGGCCATGGTGTCATCGATATGCAACTCGTGGTTACTTTGCTGTACTTTTTCCACTTTGGCCATAATGTGTTCCCCCTGGAAGTCCTCCATGTGCCGAAACGTGATTCGGATGGGTGTATCCAGGGCTGGATGTTCAAGGGTCAGTCCTACGCGATCACCATCATGCCCATTCACATTGACTCTACGGTTTAGCAAGACAGCATCAAACTGCTCTATGAGAACGATGGGTAAGTCTTCAGGTTGTTGACGCTGCAGCCAAGCTTGGTTGAACTTCACCTTATAGCGATGGCTGTCGGTCTGGAACTTCTTGGTTGTTATTTGGGACGTCGGCTCCAACTGGAAGGGCACGGGCGCCTCTTCAAGTTCATCTTCTTCTACTTCAATTGGTGGTGACTGCATGATGAGAACTGCCAAGACCCACGCTGAGCCTGGTTTATATAGACGTCACCCTATGACGTCACCCTATTCTGTCCTGAGAGTGGTGTGAGGCAATATGCGCAAGGAGGTGTGTGAGATCATTTGTTGGAAAACACTATGGCGTCACACTAGGTTCATCATAAAGAGTGGTGTGAGGTAATTTGCGCCATGAGGCCATTTTGATTTTTGGATTGATGGCATCACAGGTTTTTTTCCATTGGGTTTTTACCATGGGCCTGCCCATGGGTTTTTCCCATAGGTTTTGCCCATGGGTTTTGCCCATGACGTCACAAACCCTATTACGTCACGCCACACTAACCCGGCGGCCAAAAGTGACGTCATCAACCTCAGGTATAAAACTCAGGTTTTCTAGCTCTCCGCATCAGTTGCTGACTGAAACTGGAAGCATGCAGTCGTCTCCCGCCTCCGCCTCCTTCCGTTGCCGCCTGTGCGAAACAGTTGACCACAGTTATCTGCACTGCCCCATGGTGACCTGTACCGAATGTGGTGCTCAAGGCCATCGTCATTACATATGTCCAAAGAAGACCAACGACAGTAACAAGCACGATAACAACACCTGCTACAACTGTGGAATAAACGAAGGCCATCGCAGTTACGACTGCCGACACCCCTGTCGGTACTGTGGTAAAGAGGACCACAAGAGTATGAACTGCTCTAACAAGACCCAGAAACGCCCAGCTCCACACCAACCAGCCAAGTGAATCGCAAAAGAAAGTGAGTAAACGTGAAAGCAAACATCTACTGGCTCTACTCAATGACAGGGTCCTCCTCGTTCATGATCGCATAGACACCATGCACACTCTACTACAACGTGTCTTGGATTTTGTTGAACCCATGGACGGTTCCACCAGTACCTCCTCAGGGGCCCGCCCTCACTAAAATAGATGCCATGCCTCGGTGATGTCTCACCCACCAATACCAACGGCCATTTACAGGGCCACCCATCCCGCTCAAAAGAAAGCTGACAAAGCTTTAACAACACGCTTTTCTAGGCCTAAATCGTCCTCACCATTCTCCCTCCATCCCTCCCTCCCTCTCCTTGCCCGTCCTTCGCCATCTTGAAATGCGTTCCGTCCGCCATCTTGAGACGCGTCCGCCATCTTGAAATGCGGCCGCCATCTTGAAACGCATCCGCCATCTTGAAACGCGTCCGCCATCTTGAAATGCGTCCGCCATCTTGGATCGCGCCACCGGAAGTGTCGCCATCTTGAAAAAGATCCCAGGGAGACGTTGTTGACCACTTTCGTGCCCTGACTGGATGGGACATTGTATATGGCCCAAGGTTTAGAATTGATCTTTGTCACCCCATGCTTGCCGTAAAAAGCGACTATTATTAATACTGCAAAGCGCGTCGCTAGCTAACAAACAAATATAAAGTATACATAAAGTCTCATCTCAGTATACACTTTTTCCTACTTCGTGAAGATAACCTTTGTATTTTTACACAAGTCTTGATTTTTCCAGGGAGCATCCTATGAGCTGGCCGCTAGAAAGAACAGTATATATGCTTCAATTACTAAAGACGAGTTTGAGAAGCTGGACACGACCTTGATGGACGTGGTCAGTACGACTCACATCTTTCAAGAGGCACACTTTGATACTCTGACATTCTCGGGTCGGGATGCAGCCATTAATGCGGGGAAGTCCTACGGCTTGACGGATGAAGAAACCCTGGCAGTAATGATCTATACTACAAATTGTGTGTACAAAGAATTCAACAGAATACTGAGAGAGGGTGACATCGCCAAATACGACAAGTCATTCCAGGTCTTTCATTACCTCCTTATTAACGCCATTGAGAAGATACGTCTGAAGCAAACTCTTCCGGAATACCTGTATAGGGGTGACGAGAATATATATTCCATCGAATACGGAACCTATATGCGTTTGCCTGGATACACATCGACCTCATCTGATGAATCTGTAGCCAAGGAATTCCGCAGAAGCTCGGGCACTCTCATTCGCTTGGAGGGAGTTAAGTTAGGCGCTGATATTGCCAGCCTTTCGGTAGTTCCTTCGGAGGCAGAAGTCTTGATCCCCCCCTATGAAAGTTTCAAAGTCACCAACGTTGACAGGGACAACACAGGCCCACTCATCTACCTGAAGAGTATTGGGGAGATGTGCGGAGGTCGTCGACGACGATCCACGGGAGGGCCGTGCCGATGCTGTAGACAGCCGTTAGACGTAATCCGTGAAGCCGCGAGTGGATGCGTCCCGCAACAGATGAAGTGGAACGTTGTCTACTTCTGTTTAGTGGTGTATGTCGTTGTTAGATATTGATATTAGCAAATCTAACAGTTCAAGCGCAGCACCACTTTATACACGTGTTCATTTGGTCATGTACATTTACATGGTTGCATAAGTTGATTGACAGGTCATAGTTTTAGCCCGTTTCAAGACAGTTGAACAATATATAACTGTCAATTCAAATGTTTAATGTCAGAGTTATAACCCTTCGATTAAAATAATCTGTATAATAGTTCAGTTTTTATTTCACAGTAGTCAGTTGTAATAAAATAATCTGTATAATTCAGTTTATATTTCACATTAGTCAGTTGTAATAAAATAATCTGTATAATTCAGTTTGCGTTTTACATTTGTTCAGTTTAATGTATTCGGGAATGTTGTTTTTTATTAATGTCATTGGCGAATCCAGGGGGGACGACACCCCCTCGCCCCCCCAAAAAATAAAAAAAAAAAAAAAAAAAAAATATTCCTTGATCCACCCATGAATGTGACCTGTTTCCATTAGTTACAAAGCATGTATAATTCATTGGCAATCGTCATTTGTGTGGGCAATGATTTGTGTAGTTAGTCAAGGACTCGAAGGAGCTATAATCCGCTAGCAGATGTTCTATATTGCTTCAACCTTACCACTTACAACACTGGGGAAAATTCTGGGTATGAATGAAAGAGTCCCCAGCAATAACTGCTTGTCGTAAGAGGCGACGTAATGGGTGTCAGACTTGGTTGAATGCAAGTGAGTGAGTATGTTTTTACGCCGCCTTTACCCATGAGAAGAATTGACGCGTGCTGGTGGGTAGTTTGTTTGTTTAACGCCGCACTCAGCAATATTCCAGCTATATGGTGGCAGTCTGTAAATCATCTAGCCTGGACCAGACAATCCAGTGATCAACAGCATGAGCATCGATCTACGCAACTGGAAGACATGTGTCAGCAAAGTCAGCGGGTCTGACCACCCGATCCCGTTAGTCGACAAGAATTAATTGCTGAAGACTAATGCTGGAGGCGATACTGCGATCGTTATGAACGAAACGCGCACGCACACACACCCACACACACGTATCTTCACGATTAGAGCGTTTGCTCGGACCGGGGGATTCGTTCAATCCCAAACCGAAAAACTTTATGACACGGTACTTGTCACCATGCCTGGCGTCCCCTCATTAAGTGGGAAAAGCAAATATGTCCTTAATGTGTCTGAATTACATATTCACGATAAAGCTACTTTGTGAGGTGAGGTGAGGTGAGGTGAAATTGGGTTTAACGTCGTGCTTGAGAATATTTCGCTCATATGACGACGTGCATGCGTGTGTATATGTATGTGCGGCTGCTTGTACTAGCCCAGGCAGAAGCTGGTTTTATAGTGCTAGCCCACATGAATGCCCTACTCAGACACATTATACTGACTCCGAGCCGACCAGTCCTTGTCGTACCCATTAATGACAAGCGCCAGGCAGGGATTAACAAGTACAATATTTTTATGACGCGGTCGGGGATCGAACCCGCGACCTTCCGATCTCCGGGCGGACGCTCTAACCACTACACCACGGAGGCGGTCACTTGTGACTTAATACTGTAAACATGTCATTAATCCAGACTAGTACCAACAGCCGCAGGTGCACGCACATACATGCGCAGATGCGAATATATTGCTACCTGTATGTAAGTGCAATACACATGAATACGACGTTAAACCTAACAGCCCCTCAACCATCGATGCTCATGATGTCCGTCACTGGATTTTCTGGTCCAGAGTGGTGTGTTTCAGCAATAATAATTCCAGTGTTGTGTACGTGGTGATGAAGACGTCAGACGCCGATGAAAGAATCGTCCACGAAGATGAACATATAGGTAGATGAAAGTTCCATCTTCGTAGATGAACACGGTGTTTTAGCCAGTGGTTAAAGCGTCCGCTCGTCATGTTAAAGACCCGGGTTCGATTCCCCGCATGGGTACAGTGTGTGAAATCTATTGGTGATGTTCCCCGCAGTGGTATTGCTGGAATATTGCTAAACTCACTCACTCACTTTGAGCCATTTGAATGACTAGAAGATTTTATCATTTACATTAGATTTTTTGTTGTATTTTTACTAACATCGGTTGCAGATATGGGAGTGAATATCTGCCTCTTATCGGGTCCAGCAACTCACGATGTGAACACAATAGATACAATACAGGTTTACAATGACCTCGCACTCAGAATTCGTAAGAGTCCAAACATGATTCAGTGAACGGGTTGTCTGCCAGTTGTCTGAACTTGTATATATAATTTAACCTTGCTTCCCTAAATCTGGTGACATTTGAAATGATTTCGCTGAAAAGCGTGTGAAGGAAAAGTAAAAAACGTGAAGTTAAACGTAGACACAGAGTTTAAAAGGAAAGTCGATTACTTATACATAAATATATTATTTTCAAACTCGTAGCTATTTATTATCACATTACCTAACTAATAAATACCTGAAGATGTCGGAAAACGCACGTAAAATCTCGTCAAGATCGTGAGAGAAAACACTCATCAATGGGAATCAGTCACTCACTGGTTGACACATGTCATCGGTTCCCAATTGCGCAGATCAATGCTCATGCTGTTGATCACTGGATTGTGTGGTCCAGACTCGATTATTTACAGACCGCCGCCATATAGTTGGAATATTGCTGAGTGCGACGCAAAACTAAACTCACTCACTCACGTCTACACAAGATACCCAGAGGCCTGTTACCCCTGAAGAAGACGATTATTAATAAATATTAAAGTGGCAAGAGGTATCCTTAAGATGACAACCTTTTAATAACTAGGCTACGCCACCATCCCACTTAACCCTGTAATGATCCAGGGGCGGTGGGGTAGCCTAGTGGTTAAAGCGTTCGCTGGTCACGCCGAAAACCCGGGTTCGAATCCCCACATGGGCACAATGTGTGAAGCCCATTTCTGGTGTCCCCCGCCGTGATATTGCTGGAATATTGCTAAAAGCGGCGTAAAAACATACTCATTCACTCACTGTAATGATCCAATCTTTCAGTGAACATGAGCTACCAACAGTCATAGCTTCAAAGTCGCTTCGTGTAAACTTTTGTTTAGGTTGAGTCCTATTTGGGATTCGAACCCACGCTCTCAGAATCAGGAACCTAATAGCCAGCACATAAACTGTGGCAGAGTGGGTTAGATGGCTTAGTGGGTTAGATGACTGACGTTGTGTTCTGGCGATTAGGTGCCGGACTGTGAGAGTGTCAACCAGAGATATTAGAATCGATACTTTACTGCGAAAGTGTAATCCCATATATACCGTGTTACATTTGACCACTTTCAAAATGCTAATGTCTATTAAAAAATACTGTTTTGCCAAAACACAAATAACACAAGTAGATGCAATAGCGGAAGTGTGTATTTATATACAATACAATAATTTATTACACAGATGTGAGAATAATACTGAACAGGTGGTTAGAACAAAGATAAAAAACCCGTGTATAGATATTCACTTCTCTATATTTAAAACTCGTAAATCTTGAAATCTCAACATGCGGGCAATATTTACTTGAGCGTTAAGTCACAGGCAGCATTGATTCGTTATGTGTTAATCCAAACGAGGTCACAACACCTTTTGTTCACAATATTCACTTCTCTATATTTAAACCTCGTAAATCGGGAAACCTTAACTTGTGGGCAATATTTATATACGTGAGCGTTAAATCACAGGCAGCCTTGATTCGTTATGTGTTAATCCAAAAGAGTTCACAGCACCTCTTGTTCACAGTAAACACACAAGTGACTAGGAGACAGATCCATACATGCCTCAAACACATCGTTTTGTTTAGTAGAGTTTGAGGTTTATTGCCACGTGTGATATCCACAAATATAAAATCAAACGTTCGGAAAATTGGAATACTTTTCTTGGGTAAATGGCTTCTTAAACAAGTCATTATCACACAAATAAGTTATAATAATTAGCATGTCTGTCCAGGTATCACTGTTGAAAAAAAGATCATCTGTTGTGTCAATAGTTTATCACCAGAACCCCGAATATATGAATATATTCAAGCTAAAATGAATTATTATTGATCGATGATTCATTGGTTTTATATTTGAAATAGGCTGTGGGGAAGTAAAAAATAAAAATTAGTTGAAATTACAGTGATTTGGGGGACAAACTTCATAATTTTTAAACTAACCAGATCGGTGAAACTGGTTCTGTGATTTGCGCCGATTTCGTTTGTGTTGAAATTCTGGTGTTGCTGATCTGGGCAGTTACTGCAGGTAATCTGGGGGTATTCTATATCACGTCGTATCACACACTGGGTTTCTCATAATACTGAGTGGGTGCAGGTTAATATGGTAAAATATAACACATAATATGCATACAATATATCACATCTACGTCGTCTAATACTGACTGCGAGCGGGTTAACATGGTATAACATATCGTATGTGCACAATGTATCACATCGACATAGTTTAATACTGACTTTGAGCAGGGAAGCATAGCAGCGAATACTACGTCAGTTAAATATACTAACTTATCATATCTACATTGTCAGTGACTGTGTGCAAGCTATTTGGTCCAAAATAGGAACCAAGTTTGTATCCTTGCCGGTAAATTTGATTGGCGAATGATTGTCTCTTAATCGACAAAAAATATCACGATTCAATGGATTGTTGTGTCACTAAAATGTCCCAAAGTTACAAATGAGTATATATCATACAAATTCATTCAAAATTGTTTACACAACAGTTGTTTTTTTTACGTGTTTACCACAACAACAACAGGTTAACAATCAACATAACGAAGTTAACGATGAAACCATTGAATCAGACATTTCAAATTATGACTGAGTTTGCGCAGTTGTCGTTTCCGGTCCTGTCAAAGGCTGTGCCCGGATGTTCGGGTGTACATAGGAGGCGCGTGTTGTCGTTTCCCAGCTGTTGTAGATGGCCTTGAGACTGGGGCGGTCAAGTTCAGGCTGGTGACCGGGGAAGGCGTGTGGGTGTCGGGCTGCAAGAACAAGGCAAAGGCGTCGTCATAATGCCACATGATGGCGTCATAATGCCACATGGTGGCGTCATTGTGTCACGTGGTGGCGTCATAGTGTCAGATGGTAATGGTCAGAATGTCACTAATGGCGTCGTAATATCACGCAGTGGTGTCATGTCACATGATGGCGTCATAGCGTCATAGTGGACATAATGGTCATAATGTCAATTGTGGAGTGATAATGTCACATTGGTGGCGATGATCACATGATGGCGTCATGTCGTCATGTCACATAATGGCGTCATAATGTCACTTTGTCATAGTGGTGCACACGATGAGGTCATAATGTCACTGGTGGTGGAGTGATGATGTGTCACGCAGTGGTGGGGTGTCATAATGTCACATTGTATGTCACATTGTAGCGTCATAATGTCACTTGGTTGAGTAATGATGTCGAATGGCGTCGCAAGGAGTCAGGTCACGTGTTGATAAGCCTGTTGGTCACGTGTGGGAGTCATCTCACACGACAGTAATGTTATTACCAAATAAAACAAAAATAATTAGGACATCCGGAATGTCGAACAAGAAGTTAAGTTTGGTGCTTGTGAACAAGTATATGAACAGTACGTTCCCAAACCCGCCGATCCCTCCTCAAATATGTTGTGAATTTGAAATTACTGTGTACTGTTAGTACACCCTTCCCCGCCATATAGCTTGAAAATTGTTGAGTACAGCGTTACAGAACAAACACTCACTTCATATGGTGTGCTGATAGTCGGCCGGTACTCGGGCTGACACCTTATAGTTTAGATTTTCGATAAGTATTATCACTCTTTCGATTCGATATTTGAATAAATATTTCTATTATTTCCACACTGCCAGAACGTAATTTTGATTCCAACTCGACTTTTGGAGCGCTGAAATAAGGCAAAACGTGATTGGTTGACGCCGGGCTAACTATCCATTGAGAATTGTTCTTAGTAGACATCGACAGGTTGACGATGGATTTCACGCTAAAGAAGACGACTCTGAGAGTAAAATGAAATCTGATGTTTTACTTGTAGGATGAATCGAATCGAAAATGATCGAATCGAGGGTCCAATATCGAAAATCGAATAGAATCGAGGTCTGGGTGAATCGTTGCAAACCTAGTCGGTTCTCACCTTTAAGATGTTTGAGATCCTGCGCAACCTCATGCGGCTGTACGTTGTAGCTTGAATCGTAGGTAGACTCGAAGAAGTGGTTGTACTGACAAGAAAAATAAAACATACTGAACCTATACAAATTTGATGGACATACAAACGTACATAATCGAGTCTGGACCAGACAATCCAGTGACATCATGAGCATCGATCTATAAGATACGATGAAATGTCTCAACCAAGTCAGCGAGCCTGACCACCCGATCCCGTTAGTCGCCCCATACCACAAGCGTGGGTTACTGAAGACCAGTTCTAACCGGATCTTCACGGGGCTGGTCGGAAGGGGAGATCCAATACGTCAGCTTCAAGACAACATCTATCACTGGGTTGCTTGGCCCAGCTTCAATTATTTATAGGTCACCGTCATACAGACGGAATATTTTTTAGTATGACGTTGGCTTACGCTTTGTCTCTGACAGTACCTGAAAGACTCTGGTTTGATTCCCAGCTTGGGCACAATGTGTGAAGCCCATTTCTGGTGTCCACCGGCTTAATATTGCTGGAATATTGCTAAAAGCGGCGTAAAACTAACCTCACTCAATCCCTCACATTTATGGAATGGATCCACATCTTAATTTCACTATTGATATAGATACCCCAATATTTCTGTTCTATTTTTTTAAATTTCAGGCATCAGGCACTGAGGATGTGTGTAACACGATTTTCCAAAATTATTTTAGCAACCGATGCATGTCGCAAGAGGCAACTAACGGGATCGGGAAGACAGGCAGACTCGATGTCTTGGATGATGCATGATATCGTGTCACAAATACGTGGATCACGATCTGTCATTCACCTGATTGTCTGTCCTGGCACGATTATTTACATACCACCGCCATATTAGCCGGAATATTGCTGACTGTGGCGTTAACAACAACGTACAAATGATATAAACATTATGCATATTGAGATAGCCTTGACGGAGATTAAAATTATTTCCGTTTTCACTAACTACATAATAATTTTTTAAATTTTTAATCTGCAAATCAGTTTTATGAATTTATTGCAGGTTTGCTGTTCAGATATATGTTAACTGTTATTTATCTCCTTTGTTTTATGTTCAGTTGGTTTTTATTTATTTATTTCATTAGATCTATTTGTTATATTTTATGGATGTCTGATCTAGCTAGCTGCCATTCATTTTTGGCAAATACAAGGCGGCGGTGGCATTTTCTAATATAACTCACCTGTGACGGCAAACTCTTCGACTGACGCTCTTTCTTAATATCAAATTTGTCCTCGTTCCAATTCCCTATCAAGGTCCCATTAGCAAACGAATTTTCTTTAGTGGTGCATCGCCACCCAAACTGGTTAAATTTAACCTGATCGGTTGTGTGGGTCCAGATCTCGCCGAGTCCGCTCGCTCGGACCATGCTACGAAATGGCGGGTTGTCTTCGGCCCGTTCCATTCTGATATCTGGCGAGTTTTGCTCTTGCTGGGTGTCAGTGAAATAATGTGAGAGCTCCTGGATTGTTTACAGTCTGCGAATGACTGACACTTTGCGTGCCTCTCGGCTGACAATCGCGTCGCGTTGCTAGGGGAGACAGCGTCACATGACCAACCGTGGCTGCTATTGTTGTCGGAACAAGCTCCACTTCATTGCTTGCTATTATTCTCGGGTGTTGGGAACTCGATAACACTGTAAGGAGTTTAGGAGGGCTATTTCCATAGGCTCTTTACGGTGTAGAATTTCGAACACGTCTTGTTTAGAGTTCGGAGACTGCTAAATTTTCTACCTGCATAAATCTACTTTACATGATGTCTGCGTATATGTGTATCAATGTAAATATTCTCAACATCGTGTGCTTAAAGAACGATTATATCATTCACACATTTAGTTCAGTTTGAGCAGAGAGAATATAATAAACTATATTTTACACTCTCTGGTTTGAGACAAATGTTTTTATGAGACTTAAGACTCCATTCCATTTATTCTGAATTGGAAGATTTTTTATTAGGGCTTTAAATACTTTTTTGTGATCATTTGAGAAATGTGATTTATAATGCTTTCCTATTCAATTGTATTTGTTCGTTTGTTGTTTAACGCCGCACTCATAAATATTCCGGCTATGCATGGCGACCTGTCAATAATCGAGTCTGGACCAATGAAAGCATTCTTAGCTTCCTTATTTAAATAATGATAATTTAAATAAATGAAAATTTAAAGAAGTTTTGATATGTTTGAGTATGTATATTTAACCATCAGTCATTCCTACAGTTGTGTACAAAGTAATCTATGTTTGGATAATTTGTGGGAAAATACATTGGTTATACAGTCTGTTTGGCTCAAAAGCGGACCGATGAATTGCAATCTAACTCGAAAACTACTAAACAAATAATGCTCAATGTAACGCTGTTCATAATCAAAACATCAGACCAGCTCTGTGAGTTTTTTGCAGAATGTATGTCCTAAAAATAAAAAAAAGTTGTTTAACAAACTATCATTAAAATTTTGACAGTTCACTATTTGTTACGAGGGTGTAGTGCAAAAATAGAGGAACAGCCATGTGTACGCGTGGCACATGTACAAATGCCGACAAAGTCATTGATTCATTTACCTGTGCTGTGCCGTCTCCTTCCTTTATCGCACACCTGGCTGTTCCTCTCTTTGCACTCCTCCCTCGTAACAAACAGTGAACTGTGCAAGCTTTTAGAGCCAAACGGACTATAATACATTTTCAAAGATGCCTACGATACCCATTAGAAGTCTCGTACTCTGCGATTTTTATTTTTAAAAATGCACTTTTTAATGATTTACAGGATATTATATGATATCGATATCGCTAACCTAACTTAGATTTATTTATTCGAAAACTAAATTTATGATGATATCATCAGAGAGGTAACGTTTCTTTTGTTCTTCAGCTTAGTTTGTAATCAACCATGATCTCTCTGGTATGTTTTGTTGTGTGTTTTTTTATCTACCAATATTAATATTGATATCATTATTATTACCTACAACATTTACATATTTTTTGCCATTCTACTAAATCACCATTCTCAGCGTGTGCTTCTCCGTTTTGAAGGGACCATTGGGTAGCCCAGTGGTTAAAGCGTTCGCCCGTCACGCCGAAGACCCGGGTTCGATTGGAGCAAGACTAATTTGTGGTGCCCCCGCGAAGATATTGCTGGAATATTGCTAAATGCTGCGTAAAATGCCGCTTTCGTTTTTGTAAAGAGGCCCGTAGTCCAAAATATATGTATGAAGAGGAGACTCGATAACGTATTCACAATATGATATATAAAATGCTCTTGAATATCTTAAATTACATCTATCCACAATATCGAGCGTGGAGGGTGTAGAAGAACGTGACCACTTTAAACACTGCAAAAACGGAGAAGTTAACGTTCTGGTTCCTTTCGGTTAATCTGCGTTAAAATAAATTCCGGACTACCGGAAGTCAGTTTCAAAAAAGATGGCGGCAATTCAGAAGTTTATTTACTGAAGACCGAGAATTTATCTGTGAATTCAAGGTGCATGGTTCGTTCTTCTGGTTATGTGTTTTATTTATTGATAGTGCATATTGTTAATTATATTCAGAACAGAAAGTTTCTAATGACGGGTGAATTTCGGCCAACACCAGATTCACTGAGACTGAGAGTGCGACACTGACAGTGACACTAGTCTTTTACAGGTTGGGGAAACCTACGGATCGGCCTATAAAAGGCCGAACGGGATATTATAGGCCGTTCTGCCTATTTTACTATAGGCCGATCAGGCTATATTTGACCATTATTATTAACATTTCACAAACCATCAATTTCCGCACGAAATGGTTTTATTAGATCATAGAGATGAATAGTTAATGGACCTCCTCAGCTTGAAAAAAATAAGTTTTTGGACAAAATGGAAATTTATATAATGTTCAGGAAAAGATGTTTCATTTAAGAACACAATTTTGCATAGATTTTCATTTTGACAACTAAAACTGAATATCTATATCATTAATTTTCAGTGAAAATTGTCAAAACTATTACAGTCTTATATTTAATTAGCAATTTCCAAACTCCTTTATTATGTGATGAAAATGCTCAAAAAGGGTTTGAATGAAAACCTTAGGACATCAAAACTTGAATGATGTTAATATCCTCATGCGGAAATGCACCACTTCAAATTTATTTGATAAATATCATAATTATAGGCCGATCGGCCTATAGCAAAATAGGCGGATCGGCCTATTATATCCCGTTTGGCCTATTATAGGCCGATCCGTAGGTTTCCCCAACCTGTTTTAGTCAGCTACTGAGCTAGTGACGCTGAAGGGGTCGTTGTCGGCACAGGTACCCCAGGTACTGTATACAGATATGTACCCTTAACGAAGTCAAAATACAGAAACGTACCCGGTACCCTAAAAGGCAGACGAGTCCATATTCCATGATCCAAAACCGAAACCGTAATGTAGTTGTTGCGGTAAGAGTTCCGCCCATAACCCCCGCTTGAAATGTATTCTATTTATTAGGATTATTTCGAGGGTTTGGGGTTAGGTTTGGGGTTAGGGTTAAGCATAGGCTGTTTAGGCGTATATTCTTAGGCATATAATGATTATAAACAATATGGGGGGTGTGGGGGTGGGGGGTGGGAGGAGGAATTGCTGACAACAACCCCTTCAGCGCTAGTGACAGCGACTGTCTAGCCTAGGCTAGGGTTGTTCTCTGTGTAGGGTGTTACAGTGTAGGATAACTGCAACTCTCAGATGGAGAAATTGACATTGTTGTTGTCATCTGTGGACAAAATCACTTGCTTGTGTTAAGGGTCCTCATGCTGCCTGGTGGTTAACTTGTTCCCTCGTCAGGCTGAAACCCCGGATACATGTGTACAACGTATGGAGCGTATTTCTGGTGTCCTCCGACTAATATATTACTGGAATATTGCTAAGTCAAACCATTCTCACTCGCCACATCCCGATAGTAGATCAGAGATACAACACATGCATAAAAATATCCAGTGACGCTTTAACATCAAGAGTATTACTTCTATGATTTTGCTGGAATATTGCTAAATTAGCAACGTAAATCCATGCTCACTCACTCACTCACTCACTTCACTTTACTGTAAACAACCTTGAAGTTTCCTATTTGTTTACTTTACATTTTTTAATTGTGAAAATGTAGCTATCGCAAAGACAACATCTTTCATACATCTGTGTTGGACATTTTGAGTAATGAGATAAACCATGTCATGTAATGATCGAGTGGTATCTATTTGCAGTCATGATACTAGGGTCAGAAAATAAAGGACTCTTACTGTGTCATACCCAATAACAGTATTTTTTTCTGTACTGGACAAAGATTTTCAGTTTTGTTATAACTCAGTACCACCTCACCTCACTATGTATTGGGGTGGTAGGGTAACCTAGTGGTTAAACATGTTAAAGCCTTTGCTCGTGACCCCAAGGACCCGGGTTTGATTCCCCACGTGGGTACAATGTGTAAAGCCCATTTCTGGTGTCACCAGCCGGGATATTGCTGGAATATTGGTAAAAGCGGCGTAAAACTAAACTCACTCACTCACTCACTGTATTGTAAAGGGAGCTTGTCATGTTTTAGCAGATGGCAATTCTTTTGATCATCATCACATGTCTGTAGCATGAATTAATGTATTTTCAGGTAATCAAAGTGCAAATGGCTGATAACTTGTATTATTTTATTAATGTTGTCAATTTGTTAGTTGTGATTCATTGGTCTATTCATATTTAATGTTTTTTCTCGTTACTGTTTTTTCTTTACACGCTCTTAAAAAATACGCTTTCTACTGATCTCTGATATGTCCTTCGGTAAGAGCCTAAAGTATGTTGTGACATAGTTTGAAAGAAATAGGTGTCAGTATATTGCAAAATATATGACACTTCATACTACAACATAGCAATAATATTCATTTTTAAGTGGATTCTGAAACCTAAATCCTCAAATGGTAGCATATGAATCACAGTGGGAGTTGGTTGAATTTCAGTTTGGAAAACACATTGAACACAGTGATTCAGCACTAGCCCAAACCTATTTATTGTCAACCAGTCAAAACCATTGATTCTTCATCTTTTTTTCGTTAGCATGTCCAGTTTGTTTTTGTTTGTTAATGGAAACGTAAATTGCCATACAATGCCATGGAAAACTGTCAAGTGTTTTGTAAGAATAATCTCAAGTCTTTTGAATAATTTACTTTGTTTCAGGTGTGGGGAAAATGTCAGATAAGGATATACCTCACAAACTTCACACATGGCTGACACAGGAAATGCACTTCGCTCCACCCCCAGGGACTAATCTGCCTTCACCAGATGATATCAGAGGGTACGTAACACCCCCCAGGCTTTTACCTTGCCCTGCAGACCCGTGAAGATCCTGGTTAGAATTTGTCTTCAGCAATCCATGCTTCTTGTAATGTGTGTAAGAGGTGAGGTTAGGTGAAATGGGGTTTAACATCATACTTAAGATTATTTCGCTTGTATGATGACATTCATGCGTGTGTATGTGTGGCTGCTTGTACTAGCCTAGACTTAAGCTGGTTTGTATTAGCACCAGCTCACTGAGATACCAGTTAAGCATGAATACCCCTCTCATACACATTATACTGACTCTGAGCCGTCCAGTCCTTGTTTTAACCATTAATGTTGAGCGCGCCAGGCAGGGACCAATAACTACCATATTTTAACGTCTTTTGGTATGACTTGGCCGGAGATCGAACCTGCGACGCTCTAACCACTACACCGCGGAGGCGGTCTTTTCAATATAGGAATACTGGAAAACAATAAGAGTACATTTAGAGTACTGAATGGAATTTAATGGAGTATCAGTAATCTCGTGTTTCATTTCATATATGCACAACATTGCTTGCTTGTGTCTGAGTGGGGTATTCATGCTTCACTGCGGCATGGTATCTCAGTGGGCTAGCACTATAAAACCAGCTTAAGTCTGGGCTAGTACAAGCAGCCACACATACACACGCATGCACGTCGTCATATGAGCAAAATATTCTCAAGCACGACGTTAAACCCAATTTCACCTCACCTCACCTATATTGAAAAAAAAATAAGGAGTACATACTCCTGATCACGAAAAATTATCTGGAGCCCTGTATACTTTTTGAATAGTCTCATGGTTGTCAGTTGACAGTAAGAAACCGATAATCCTTGCAGGAATAACAAATTTCTGATCTTAACCACCTTTTATGACTGTCAACAACTGTGACAGCCAAGCATGGTTGTACACTTGGTCTGGTTTAGTCAAGTCGTATTTGTCGGTCTCGCAATTTGGAACCAGAACAGGCTAGCTATTCTCGAAACTTCTTAAGTCCTACGAACTTCTTAAGCCCATTCTTAACACATTGGCTACGTTCAAAGTTAAGAATTCTTAGGGCTACGAACGTTTCGAGAATAAGGCCCCTGGTTCTTGAATATACGCTTATCAGCGGAAATCTGATACTGGAAGTAAGCTGGACCCTGTCTCACATATTGTAAGTTGGTGCACGGAAAGGGAGTCAGAACCTGGGCCCCGTTCCTCAAAGCGATCGTAGCGCTACGACAGACGTAAGTCTATGTTAAAGTATGGGAGTTACGATCACCTTAGCGCTACGATCGCTTTGAGGAACGGGGCCCAGCTTAGTACCGGTAGTAGCACATCGTGAGACGTACAGGCCCTGTATGCACTTGATCCACTCATACCATGCTCGGCCCAAAACCAAGTCCAGGCCCATGGTCCCTAATATGGTGAACAGCCCTCAGATCTAGCCATCTATAGCCTGTTATGTTGTGTATTTCAACCGAAGAAGTCACAGTGAGTGATATATTTACACAATGACCCCATGAAAATTCACTAGCCATTCGTTCCAGTGACAGAGGAGATTTACTGGCCTGACTGTATGTTTACTGGCCACAGGCTAGTGGGCCGATGGCTATTTCACACACTGAACTATTAAATCATAATACATACGATTTATGACATTATGTATCATATTTATGTAAAAGCATGTGAATGATAACAGGAACTGTTTAAGAACCTGTTCATGATTCTCTAGAATTTTCTAATTAGCTATTGATAGAAGAATCCGCACAGTAACTCCAAGTTGATGTTTTGTCTCCCTCTTTGCTAACTGAAAGTTTAAAACAAATTATTCAGGGCTGTGATTCACGTGCTGAAAGGGAGAGAATATGAACTAATTAAATCAAAAGTAGTGTATGAGGATAACAGTCAAATTACATCCATATTATCGGATTGCATATTGCCTTAGGTATCACTGCATCCTTACACCCCAACTGGACACCTCTTGTGAGGGTCCTAGAAACCGAATGAATCTGAAACTCTGCTGTAACTGTTTCAGCATCTGCCGTGGCTCGACAGTGGAGGTGTGGAAGTTCATCCTCAGCCATGTCCACTCGGTGCAGTAAGTCTTTCAAATTATGCTTTGACACTGTGAATCGTATTCCCTAGCATGTAACACAGGGGCGTTCAGTTAGTATACCTTACAGATGCTCAGTGGCGCTAATACAGTGATAAAACTGAACATATATACATATAACAGAGAATGATTATCTACTGGTACACAGATAGAAATAGGTGAGTCCTAAGCTGTGATTTATAGGTGTCTTTAGTGGTTGTATTTCTGAGGTTTTGGGGAAGCGAGTTCCAGAGTTGTGGGCTGATGAAAGAGAAGGCACATTTAAAAAGTCCGTTTAGTGATTTGGTTGAGTCAAGAGAGAGTCACTGGAGGATCTGAGATTCCACTGAGGTGAGTAAGGGGAGATAAGTTCTTTGAGATAGGATGGAAAGTTTTTATTGTAGAGACAGTCATGAGTGAGGGCGAGGAGTTTGAAGGTGATTCTTGCAGAGATGGGAAGCGAGTGAAGTGACTGAAGCATAGGAGAGATATAAGATAAGATAAGATAAGATAAGATAAGATAAGATAAACGTTATTGTCCCGCAAGGGAAATTTGTTTTGCATTCAAAGAGCAATAGCGGGAAGAACGGGAGATACATACGTGTTGAAATTTTAGTTGCCATTGTGCAGGTTCAAAAGTCTGGGTGTTACATTTGACATTTGAAGATGTATCAAAATAATTGTATTTCTGGTTTAATTGACAATGCTGTCTCTTGTGTGGCATCCTGTTATCAACTTGTTGTTTCTTGTTTACAGGACTGTGAAGAAAGTCAAAGGAAATTTGTCTCTGTATCCTACTCGTCAACCGTGTAAAACACATGTAATTCTCCCATGAATATTGCCGAGTGCGGTGTAAAATAACAAACAAATAAACAAACATGTATTTAATAATAATGTCTGTGCGGTGCTAGAAGGTTGTAGTCACATGACTTCCTCCAACCGGGTAGCCATTTTCTGCTGGGTGAACAGAGGCAATTTTGAACAAACTCACTTGCCTAAGGTGAGACCACATGTATCACTTGTGCTTCGTTGTGGGGCAGGACTGAAGTCCTAGAAACTCTCAGGAGTCAAGCTGCCAAACACGGTCACCCATCCAAGGACTTTTTGAGCTCGACGTTGCTTAACTTCAACTGATTCGTGACCTGAGCTCTGTGCTCACCTAGCTGACCTTGGTAAACACCCCAATATTAATATTTGTGGAAGACAAGATAAAACAAATTATACAGATGTATTTATCACCTAGTGGTCTATAGTAAACATCCCTTCTGTCATATTTATCGAATTAGATAATTTGTATGACAGATGCATTTATCACACAGTTGACCATGGTAACTATCGCTATAGTAATCTCTTTATATTGTATAAATTATTTTCGTCACGATATGGCTGAGATATTGCCGATGTGACGTTAAATATTAACTCACTCACTATAGTAATATTTGTCAAAATGAAGAAATGTAGATTAAATGCATGTATTTATCACATAGCTGACCACGGTAAACATCCCGATAAAAGTAAAATTTATGTAATAGAAGATAAAATGAATACAAGTACAGCCTAGTTATTAGTGTTGAAACCTTTTCATAACACATGTATCCAGGATTCTGGCAACTTTTTGACAATGTTTGAACCACTTTGAGTTCAACATCACTGAATGATCATCAACTGTTGCCACCTTAACCATTAACTCAGTCGAGACAAGCGACACCTGAAGAACACCTCAGACAGAACGCCATACAGCGATGAGCAGGAGGCTTTAGCAGAGCGACGAGTTCAGCTGACAAGGGAGGTTAGCCAGTGTCGTTCCGACACCGTCCATATCGAGAAGGATCTGAACAGACTTGAAAGGGAGATAATCCAAACAGGTGTGTATAGAGCATCTGTTCATGTTGTTGGTAGAAAGTCTGAAATATATGAGACTAGATTTGGGATTAACTTGTCATCGGCAGTAGAGGTGAAACAATATGAAACACTTATAAATGCAAATCACAATATGTTTGGTTATTTTGAGGATGTTTTTTAAGACACATATTTTCATCTTTCAAATTTCCGTCTTAGTTACATATAAATACCTCAGTAGGCGCATCCTGAGGCAAGAGTGTCCGCTTGCTGACTCAAGCCTATTTTTAACCCTTGCCACCCCTTGTGGAACAAGAATTCACCCCATGTGATCTCAAATCAAATTGCTGTACTTCTTTCAAATGGGCTCTATGGGGATGATTACCATAGAAGATGACCTGGTTCATCAGATAATGATATTTGAGATTTGAGATTTAATCCCTGACAGACAGAGAAATTGTCAAATTGCCATGGTCAAGATACTTAATGGTCACATTTCGCTCTCACAATAGGAGGCATTGAGTGAGTGAGTGAGTTTAGTTTTACGCCGCACTGAGCAATATTTCAGCTATATGGCGGCGGTCTGTAAATAATCGAGTCTGGACCAGACAATCCAGTCATCAACAGCATGAGCATCGATCTGCCCAATTGGGAACCGATGACATGTGTCAACCAAGTCAGAGAAACTGACCCCCCGATCCCGTTAGTCGCCTCTTACGACAAGCATAGTCGCCTTTTATGGCAAGCACATGGGTTGCTGAAGACCTATTCTATCCAGGATCTTCACGGGTCAGGAGGCATTGAGATCACACTTTATCAAAATAACACTGCACGTCGAAAACCCCCACCCCCCACCTCCCAACCCGGAAATGACTTGAGACCTTATTGAAGATTTGCGTTGGCGAAGCCAAGGGGGTTCAAACCTCTGAACACCCCAACCTCCCCCCCCTCTAAAATTCCTAGATCCGCCCATGCATGGATGGTTGGTTTAGCAGTATTCCAGCTATATGGCGGTGGCCTGTAAATAATCAAGTCTGGACCAGACAATCTAGTGATCAACAGCATGAGCATTGATCTGCACAATTGGCATGTGATGACATGGGTCAACCAGGTCATCGAGTCTGACCGCCCAATCCCATTAGTCGCCTCTTACAACAAGCATGGGTTACTGAAGACCAATTCTAACCCGGATCTTCATGGGTACTTACAAAATGCGACTAGTGAGACCACACTGTATCAAAGTAACACAGCACATCATGTCAGCATGAAACACTCAGCAGGGTGTGTGTCTAAAAATAACACTGCCTCCTTGTCCTTGCAATAAGTTGTCAGCAAGTTGAAAACAACAGCAATGCCGTTTGAATTAGAACTTAGATGAGTTGATAAAAGCTTTGAACCTCTCTGAAAATATTTGTCTGAGCTTCATAACTGGATTAATTTCGAGCAAGAGACAACTTATGGGTTGGGGTGGTCAGGCTCACTGACTTGGTTGATGCATGTCATCTAGTGGTGGGAATCGGTTGTGATTTCATAATCGATTATCGGTTACAACCCGGATTGGCCCAACCGATCAATCATCGATTAATAATCGGTTAAATTAAACCACAATAATACCCTCTAAATGAAAAATATTACACAAGGTCATGTGTTTGTTATTATCTCAGACTTCTTAAGGTAAGCAAGTACTGTTCAGAGACAGATGGTTGAACATGTACAGGCACACAAAAGAAAAGAAATTATTTTTGTTCTTTTATGGTTTATTAGTTACCATCAACAGCATCAATTACCAACCATTCAATAAACAACAGATCTTGTCAGATGTCATAAACCACTACATGACTAAATGCCGGTGACTGACTAGAAAAGTGAATCAAGAACATTCAACCAAGGGGAATGAAACCTCCCCTCAGACTTGTGCACCTGGGTACTACTGTTCTACTATTACTACTTATTGAGATACGTAAATATGGATACGTAAATAAATAATAAATAATAATAATAGTGCATATTTATAACGTGCACATATCCACGCTCAGAAGCATGCTCTTGGCGCTACATAAGTACCTTAAAATAAATATGTTATATATACAAAGCAAGAAAACTACAATGAATAGGTGCATAATACATAAACAATAAAGGCTATTGAGGATAATATTTAGCAAAGAGGTAGGTTTTGAGATTTGATTTAAAAGTGTCCAGAGATTCAGAGTGTTTGAGGTCAAAGGGGAGAGAGTTCCACAAGACAGGGGAAGTGTAGGAGAAAGTTCTGTATCCAAAGGTTTTAAGTTTGTAGTTCGGCACTATCAGAAGGTTATGCTGCTGTGAGCGAAGTTCGCACAATGGACTGTAGGGATTGATCAGGGACCACTTGCACAGAACAACCTTAGTTACAATCAATCTTAGGCCCCTACAATCAACTTTACAATCGCCATACATTTGCCCTAATCCACTTGCACAAAGCCGATCTTAGAGCAATTGTAAGACGGCGTGTATTTAAGATCGCGATCTTAGTTAAGATCGAACTCTTCAACGGTGGAAGTACGAATTTCTTAAACTCGACTCCCATCTACAGTTGTCTCAAAGTGCGCATAGCATGCTGCGCAAATAAAAAGTGATACTGGTCCCAGCACACAATACATACCTCCCTCAATCGCACCTTGCAGAATTTTCATGAAAAAGTCCCAGAAATCTTAGAAGGAACCGATTACGTTACATGTTTTATGAAAATACTGAAATACGAAAAAATACATGAATAAATTTGGATCTAGATTTAGTGACTTAATTATGAACTTAAAATAACAAATATAAACAGTATTTCCTTATGATATAACACCTAAATGTATGATTTGCCAATGGTTGTCAATGAGACGTTGTTTAATACGCAGCTGTTGAGGGGGAGGGGGAGGGTAAAATCCTAAATATAACCTAGAATAAAATACAATAAAACAATGGCTACAGAAGTGTTGTGAAGAATGCTTGGCAGGGAAATACGTGCATTAAATAATATTTCAAGAGAGTAGTTATTAAATACGTAAACACAGTATATTAATTATTTAACCCAAGTGCGTTGATAAATATTTTTCTTAAAGTGAAATTCTTACCCCATCTTGTGTATATCCCTATTTGATGACTAGTTGTATATATTTAAATTGCATAATCAAATTTAGATTAATGGATGAGAAAGAAACTTGATTTTGCACATTGTTGTATCTAATTGTAGATTACTTTAATGATAAACTAAGACAAAATCACTCCATGACCGAAAAGAGATATCAGTATGTTGAGCTCTGCAATTGGGCATGAGAGACTGTACGGCAACGGCATATGCCAAGGGAAACCACTCCCATCTTGCGTATAAAGTAAAATTATCTGCTCTTGAGTTAATGAAAAGGTCAAGGCCATTGTTAATCGCACGCGGACACCATTCGCTATTATCCTTTCTTTGCTTATCAAGAAGGTATGTTGTTTCACACTTATTCCAACATTGAATCGGGTGGGAATAGTACTTTGTGATATCGACTCGATAGTTATGTGTTCCACTACAGTAAATAACAATGTATCCGACGTTAATCGGTTGTGCATTCTCCGTGTGTTGAAATGTCGAGGCGAACCACACAGTTTCATGCAATATAAATGCAATCTCCAAACGTAAAGCTGATTATTTGCGTGAAACAGACACTAATTTGAATGCCATTTCTAAAATGACTAAAATGATCTTAGCTCCTTACAATTGGTCCGGACCAACTGTAAGTTTCGATTGTAACTTACAATAATCTTAGCCTACAATTGTTTTGTGCAAGTAGATGGCGATTGTAACCGAAGCCTAAGATCGCGATCTTAAGGATTTACAATAATTGTAGCGCTAAGATTGTTCTGTGCAAGTGGGCCCTGATCTCCAATGTAGGGTGGAGCCTGGCCGTGAAGGGACTTGTATGTGAGGCAGAGTGTCTTGAATTGAATCCTGGCTCTCACAGGTAACCAGTGGAGCTGCTTTAGAACTGGGGTAATGTGACTGTGTTTGGAAGGCGTTAATCGCTGAGGGAAAGGCACAAGAAGTGACTGTCTGCTTGCTTTACCTCGAAGGTCAAGTTTTAAGTATTTAAACTCATTAAAGTCATTTCAAAGAAAGGTAATGTTACCATAGATAAGCCGAATTGTGAAGACCGACCAAGGCAGCCTGTAGAAGGTGGTTGGCTTATCTGCGGGTAACACTTTCGTCAAACTTTATTTTCTAGACATCATATCATTTCCCACAAGTATAAAGAGAAAACGACTTTGTCAGTGAAGACATCAAATTTGCAAATACACATGACAGTTTGTTGTGATCGCCAACTCCAATAATATGACATTTAGCAAAAAAATATATATATACGAATCCATTTTCTGTCAACTACACTTCATTTAGAGGCGTGAGTAGACACAATATGATTATGATTTCTGGGAATAATGTGGATAGACATTATACTTATAGGCAACTGCCAGTTGTCTTGTGGTCTGAGTTGGGTATTACTGTTTTCGTAAGAATTATTACCGACAATCCATTATGAAAGTTTGCAATCGATTGTCGAGTCGGAAAAGGGTAACCAATCAATTTTCAATTATTATCGATCATCAGATCACCACTAATGTCATCATATGCCCATAACGTTAATCACTGGCTCGTCTGGATTAGTTAAGGTTATTTACAGACTGCCGTCATCAGTCAGAGACGTAACGTGTAGACGCGAGACGGGTGTGCTCCGCGGTACTAACTGAAGCGCTTGACCCTAATTAATTCAATCACCGTGGAACCAACTCGATTGGGTGCAAACACGGCGCGGGGTGATTAAAGCGTCCCTTAAAATCACCAAGCGTGGTGGTTACTTGACAGCCGTAAATAAACAGGTTTCTCGGGAAGAAACACCACGCCCAGGGTTGGTTGTTTACATATGCAAATTACGTAAAAATAATTAATCGCATTTGAAAAAGTGATTTATTTTAGTGGATGTCATGGCTAATTTTAGAAATGTTAAAGTATTCATCTTTGCTGTGAGTTCTGGAACATTTTGAAACTTATATGACCTCTACCACCATTGCATCTTGCATGAATCAAAACTTACTTCGTCAAGAGTAATCCTGCAAACAACTATAAAGTCATTTGCATATTTTCCGGAAGTGACGTATTGTGTACCCTCACCTGCAAATTCAGCACACGGCTCGCTTTTTAAAAAGCGGAAAAAATTATTGTTATCGTGTATCCAAATGAATAGAAGTCTCAGATGTTTTGGTTAAAATGATATTACTGATCTCAATTCCGAAATTCTGAAATAGTTTTTAATATTTTTAAACTAGTTTAGATTGTCCTAAGTAAACGTTTGACAATGGTTTGTATATTGTGATCGTGATGAATGAGTTGCGACTATGGTCATAGAGCTAGAAAATTATTATGTACAACACACAGGAGACAAACAAAACAAAGCCCTGGACCAAGAAAATGGACTTATAAACATGCTAAATGATAACCCACTCATATTTGGCTTGAAATGGCATCTAGAATTGACATGTGGACATGCATGACTCTGGAGGATGCATACCTATTTGTATTGGGAACATCGTGCAGAGAACGCACTGTGATAGGGTCGTTATTTTGCAAGAGACGTGCTGTTTTGGGGACCTGCTGTGCATCTGAGCCATTGTGCAGGGGACATGCTGCATTGGGACCTACTGTCCAGAGCACCTACAGTGCAGCTGAGCTATGTTTATGTTGTGCAAGGAACCATCTGCGTTATTCTACTGTGCCGAGGAACTACCATTTAGAATAAACTGCTTCACTGTAAATAACAGCTTTAAATAAACAATTGATCCCTGATGAATTTCTTTCTTTGAATAACATAATGGCATAAATGATGAATTCACTGTCACCAATGCATCTCATTCACATTTACAAGTGAAAATGGCGTATGGTCTTTGTTTGATACTATTTCAAACTATTTTACATGCCTGAACGTCATGCCTGAATTGTTGAACAGAGAGGAACTACCGCAGTGGGTGTGAGGACCTGAGAAACAAGCAGAGGCGAGGTGGGCTGCTCCGCGTGTACAGCAAACACAAGAAGGAGAATATAGCGGAGTACCAGGAGTTTAAACACAGACTGGAGGCCCGGGTACAGGCGTTGGTGAACAAGTCCAGGTGGGTGGACCTGTGTCCTATTGTCTAGCTGACACATGACCTGTGTCCTACTGTCTGTACATGGCACATGACCTGTATCGTACTGTCTGTACATGACACATGACCTGTATCGTACTGTCTACATGACACATGACCTGTGTCCTACTGTCTGTACATGGCACATGACCTGTATCGTACTGTCTGTACATGACACAAGACATGGATATTACCTGCAGTCTCTAATGACTGTTATTCCCTACAGACCATATATGACACATGACTTTGTTGTTCCCTACAGCCTGTACATGACCTTGTTATTCACTACAGACCATATATGGCACATGACCTTGTTATTCCCTACAGCCTGTACATGACCTTGTTATTCACTACAGACCATATATGGCACATGACCTTGTTATTCCCTACAGCCTGTACATGACCTTGTTATTCCCTACAGACCATATATGGCACATGACTTTGTTGTTCCCTACAGCCTGTACATGACCTTGTTATTCCCTACAGACCATATATGGCACATGACCTTGTTATTCCCTACAGCCTGTACATGACCTTGTTATTCACTACAGACCATATATGGCACATGACCTTGTTATTCCCTACAGCCTGTACATGACCTTGTTATTCCCTACAGACCATATATGGCACATGACTTTGTTGTTCCCTACAGCCTGTACATGACCTTGTTATTCACTACAGACCATATATGACACATGACTTTGTTGTTCCCTACAGCCTGTACATGACCTTGTTATTCACTACAGACCATATATGGCACATGACTTTGTTGTTCCCTACAGCCTGTACATGACCTTGTTATTCCCTACAGACCATATATGGCACATGACCTTGTTATTCCCTACAGCCTGTACATGACCTTGTTATTCCCTACAGACCATATATGGCACATGACCTTGTTATTCCCTACAGCCTGTACATGACCTTGTTATTCCCTACAGACCATATATGGCACATGACCTTGTTATTCCCTACCGCCTGTACATGACCTTGTTATTCACTACAGACCATATATGGCACATGACCTTGTTATTCCCTACCTCCTGTACATGACCTTTATTCCTTTTTCAGTGAATCACAAGTGTTTCTGGCTGGAGGCAGCAAAAGAGGAGACAGTGGACTTGAGGCTGTCAGCTGTGTGAGATATTCAACTTATTGATACTTTATCTACTTTATGTTTATTCTACTGCTAGATACTGCATGTCATATTCTACTGCTAGATACTGCATGTCATATTCTACTGCTAGATACTGCATGTCATATTCTACTGATAGATACTGCATGTCATACTCTACTGATTGATACTGCATGTCATATTCTACTGCTAGATACTGCATGTCATATTCTACTGCTAGATACTGCATGTCATACTCTACTGACAGATACTGCATGTCATATTCTACTACTAGATACTGCATGTCATACTCTACTGACAGATACTGCATGTCATACTCTACTGATAGATACTGCATGTCATATTCTACTGACAGATACTGCATGTCATATTCTACTGCTAGATACTGCATGTCATATTCTACTGACAGATACTGCATGTCATACTCTACTGCTAGATACTGCATGTCATATTCTACTGCTAGATACTGCATGTCATATTCTACTGCTAGATACTGCATGTCATACTCTACTGACAGATACTGCATGTCATACTCTACTGATAGATACTGCATGTCATATTCTACTGCTAGATACTGCATGTCATACTCTACTGACAGATACTGCATGTCATACTCTACTGATAGATATTGCATGTCATATTCTACTGCTAGATACTGCATGTCATATTCTACTGCTAGATACTGCATGTCATACTCTACTGACAGATACTGCATGTTATACTCTACTGATAGATACTGCATGTCATATTCTACTGCTAGATACTGCATGTCATACTCTACTGACAGATACTGTATGTCATACTCTACTGCTAGATACTGCATGTCATACTCTACTGCTAGATACTGCATGTCATACTCTACTGTCAGATACTGCATGTCATACTCTACTGATAGATACTGCATGTCATATTCTACTGCTAGATACTGCATGTCATACTCTACTGACAGATACTGCATGTCATACTCTACTGATAGATACTGCATGTCATATTCTACTGCTAGATACTGCATGTCATACTCTACTGACAGATACTGCATGTCATATTCTACTGCTAGATACTGCATGTCATACTCTACTGACAGATACTGCATGTTATACTCTACTGATAGATACTGCATGTCATATTCTACTGCTAGATACTGCATGTCATACTCTACTGACAGATACTGTATGTCATACTCTACTGATAGATACTGCATGTCATGTTCTACTGCTAGATACTGCATGTCATACTCTACTGACAGATACTGCATGTCATACTCTACTGATAGATACTGCATGTCATATTCTACTGCGTAGATACTGCATGTCATATTCTACTGCTAGATACTGCATGTCATATTCTACTGCTAGATACTGCATGTCATACTCTACTGACAGATACTGCATGTCATACTCTACTGATAGATACTGCATGTCATATTCTACTGATAGATACTGCATGTCATATTCTACTGATAGATACTGCATGTCATATTCTACTGCTAGATACTGCATGTCATATTCTACTGATAGATACTGCATGTCATATTCTACCGATAGATACTGCATGTCTTAATCTACTGATAGATACTGCATGTCATATTATACCGATAGATACTACATGTCATATTCTACTGATAGGTACTGCTTGCCATATTCAACTGATAGATGGTGCATGTCATATTCTACTGATAGATACTGCATGTCATATTCTACTGATAGATACTGCATGTCATATTCTACTGATAGATACTGCATGTCATATTCTACTGATAGATGCTGCATTTCATATTCTACCGATAGATACTGCATGTCATATTCTACTGATGGATGGACAGATTTTCATTGTACAAAATATTAAACTTGGATCATTACTGGTTTAGTGGAGCAGCGGCAGTCACCTATAGAGGGGGTACCCAAACCAGCATAATCAAAATTAGGTAAAATTAGGTGCCCTGTTATGACTGATTCAGTAAACCCTTGATGACATTTTGTGAAATGATTGCGTTTTCTCCCCTACCCTCTAGGTACTTATAGATCCCATTGTCTGTGATTTAGATGGACATATGAGTTGCAAGTACATTTCTTTACATCATTTACTGTGTGTGGTCCTGTGCATGGAGCTCATAGGTCAGGTAGGGGTAAAATATTACGTTTTTACCACGGTACGGTGTGTTTTGCGGTACAAGGCCTTCGGTTTGGTACATAAGAATGTACTTACGGGAAATAGTGTCCCTCATGCAGAGAAATTTATAAATTTTGACAAAATGGTTTAAAATGGTTAATAAAATGACTGTACAAAAACCGACAATACTGAATTTGTACTGACTGTATTACGGTATACTGAACCAAAGGCAAAATACCACGGTTCTACTAATACCGCAGTATACCGGTTTACCCTAAGATCAGGTAAAGTTAAGCAACATTGGGCACTAAGAGCCCTTTAGCAGTTAAAATTGACCTTGGAGCAGGTTAGTGCATGCCTGATTTGTAACATTTGGTCTGTGTGGTTGTGTGAATTATTATGGAAATGTTGCGCATTAGTTCAGATCCCTTTGTGTGACTACTTCAGCGGCAAGTCCGAGAGACCTGCGACAACATCGGCGCCTTCCTCCATGAGACCCTCCAGGGGAGTTTTGCTGGGGACAAGAGAGCCTTGTAAGTGTTCATTGTCTATCTGATGTATTTGTATCCAATGGGGCCAGGCACAACATGTATGTATGAGTTCTGTCTTGATTTTGGGTGCAGATCCGGTGAAGATCCGGGTAGGACTGATCTTCAGCAACCCATGCTTGTTGTATGAGGCGACTAATGGAATCAAGTGGTGTCAAATCCAGCGTGTGGCAAGGAGTCAGCTGGATGTGTATCATCACCAATTAATCCTGCGTTCAACTAAATGGTTGCCAACAAAGATAATTGATTCTTAGCTCAGTATGGGTACATGTAATTAGTGAGTTATTAGACGGAAGATCTTGTTGTTTATGGATAACGCCCCCAAGCCACTCCCACGGAATGTCACTCAGCAATGTTACTCTTCAAGTTCCTGTTACGTCCTCTTGACCAAGGCATGATTCAGGCATTTCAAGTCAGATACAAATCGTATCTCCTGGTTCAGTTCTAGTCGTAGGTAACCGTGTCAGCTCTACAATCCGGCACGCTGTCTAAACCGGATTATGTTTTAGTCCCAATGAGTGCTGGTTTAGACAGCATCCAGTGTATTTAATAGTGGGTGAGTGAGTGGGTTTAGTTTTACGCCGCTTTCAGCAATATTCCCGCAATATCACGGCGGGGGAAACCAGAAATGGGCTTCACACACTGTACCCATGTGGGGAATCGAACCCGGGTCCTTGGCGTGACGAGCGAACGCTTCAACCACTAGGCTACCCCACCGCCCCTGTATTTAATAGTTGGAATTGTTGTGTGCTGTGTCAAACAATAAACAAACAAACAAAAACAAAATTGATTTTCAGTAATGAGAAGAAGCAAGGATTGTGGACTCAGGTGGAGACAACTCTGTCGGACTTGACCGTTGGTCAGCTGGTGAGCAGTCTGGTGACCAACACCCACCTGTCTGCCCTCGCCCTGCGAGAGAAGACCCTTGCCATCAACATCAAGCAGGATGCAGAGAAACTCAGGTGAGAAGCACCTGCTGCTGAGACAGGGTCTCGTCAGCAAGTACCCCAGCTCAGTCTCAAGGTTACTTGATCGTTAAATATTCCAACAATACCTGGGACCAGTAGGGGACCCCAGGAAGCAGCTTAACTAGACGCTGTCACTGTGGCCTGTTTGACACACATTCTATCAGTGGTGACAAAAATCAGTCATCTGATGAACTCCCCATGGGATCATTGTCATGAAAATATGATCTCTGTCATGAAATTATATCTGTCATGAAATTAACGATCCGTGTCATGAAATTACATGATAGCAATTAAGGAAAAATCTTTATTTTGGGACTACAAACTGATGTTTCTTGGTCAATGACTCAAAGGACTCATATATCAAACGTACATCAAATATAAACTCAGGCAAATCGAGTCACGTAAAAAGAGGTGCAGTCAGTAAGGTTGACTGACCAGTTTACAATCTGACATCTGTTTGTATAAATAGAACCGGTACAACGTTTAACTCAACTGACTGAAAATCATGTGATCATTAGCGGCCATTAATTGGCATTTGGTAGAAATTAGATAAGATTAGCCAAACGTGTAAGGTCATCCCTAAGATTCCTGCATAGTCTTCAGTTGTTATAGCAAGCTTGAAAAACCTTGACCTTTGTAAAAGTAATTATGTTTGATACAGGTTCAAGTTTGAGAAAGTAGGACAGTTGAAGGACATGTCATCTTCACAACCACTGCTGATGTCTGTCTTCACAACCACTGCTGATGTCTGTCCACCAACTGTTGGAGGTATGTATGTATCTGTCAGTCAAACCACTACTGATGTCTGTCCACCAACTGTTGGAGGTATGTATGTATCTGTCAGTTAAACCACTGCTGGTGTCTGTCCACCAACTGTTGGAGGTATGTATGTATTTGTCAGTCAAACCACTGCTGATGTCTGTCCACCAACTGTTGGAGGTATGTATGTATCTGTCAGTTAAACCACTGCTGATGTCTGTCCACCAACTGTTGGAGGTATGTGTGTATCTGTCAGTTAAACCACTGCTGATGTCTGTCCACCAACTGTTGGAGGTATGTATGTATCTGTCAGTTAAACCACTGCTGATGTCTGTCCACCAACTGTTGGAGGGTATGTATCTGTACTACTGATGTTGTCCACCAACATGTTCAGTTAAACCACTGCTGATGTCTGTCCACCAACTGTTGGAGGTATGTATGTATTTGTGTTGTCAGTTAAACCACTGCTGATGTCTGTCCACCAACTGTTGGAGGTATGTATGTATCTGTCAGTTAAACCACTGCTGATGTCTGTCCACTGCTGATGTCTGTCAACTGTTGGAGGTATGTATGTATTTGTCAGTTAAACCACTACTGATGTCTGTCCACCAACTGTTGGAGGTATGTATGTATCTGTCAGTTAAACCACTGCTGATGTCTGTCCACCAACTGTTGGAGGTATGTATGTATTTGTCAGTTAAACCACTACTGATGTCTGTCCACCAACTGTTGGAGGTATGTATGTATCTGTCAGTTAAACCACTGCTGATGTCTGTCCACCAACTGTTGGAGGTATGTATGTATTTGTCAGTTAAACCACTACTGATGTCTGTCCACCAACTGTTGGAGGTATGTATGTATCTGTCAGTTAAACCACTGCTGATGTCTGTCCACCAACTGTTGGAGGTATGTATGTATTTGTCAGTTGAACCACTACTGATGTCTGTCCACCAACTGTTGGAGGTATGTATGTATCTGTCAGTTAAACCACTGCTGATGTCTGTCCACCAACTGTTGGAGGTATGTATGTATCTGTCAGTTAAACCACTGCTGATGTCTGTCCACCAACTGTTGGAGGTATGTATGTATCTGTCAGTTAAACCACTACTGATGTCTGTCCACCAACTGTTGGAGGTATGTATGTATCTGTCAGTTAAACCACTGCTGATGTCTGTCCACCAACTGTTGGAGGTATGTATGTATCTGTCAGTTAAACCACTACTGATGTCTGTCCACCAACTGTTGGAGGTATGTATGTATCTGTCAGTTAAACCACTGCTGATGTCTGTCCACCAACTGTTGGAGGTATGTATGTATCTGTCAGTTAAACCACTGCTGATGTCTGTCCACCAACTGTTGGAGGTATGTATGTATCTGTCAGTTAAACCACTGCTGATGTCTGTCCACCAACTGTTGGAGGTATGTATGTATCTGTCAGTTAAACCACTACTGATGTCTGTCCACCAACTGTTGGAGGTATGTATGTATCTGTCAGTTAAACCACTGCTGATGTCTGTCCACCAACTGTTGGAGGTATGTATGTATCTGTCAGTTAAACCACTGCTGATGTCTGTCCACCAACTGTTGGAGGTATGTATGTATCTGTCAGTTAAACCACTGCTGATGTCTGTCCACCAACTGTTGGAGGTATGTATGTATCTGTCAGTTAAACCACTGCTGATGTCTGTCCACCAACTGTTGGAGGTATGTATGTATCTGTCAGTTAAACCACTGCTGATGTCTGTCCACCAACTGTTGGAGGTATGTATGTATCTGTCAGTTAAACCACTGCTGATGTCTGTCCACCAACTGTTGGAGGTATGTATGTATCTGTCAGTTAAACCACTGCTGATGTCTGTCCACCAACTGTTGGAGGTATGTATGTATCTGTCAGTTAAACCACTGCTGATGTCTGTCCACCAACTGTTGGAGGTATGTATGTATCTGTCAGTTAAACCACTGCTGATGTCTGTCCACCAACTGTTGGAGGTATGTATGTATCTGTCAGTTAAACCACTGCTGGTGTCTGTCCACCAACTGTTGGAGGTATGTGTGTATTTGTCAGTTAAACCACTGCTGGTGTGACTTGATTAATCTGTCATAAGAAACAATTTGATGAATCTATCAAACAGGCAACTTGATTGATCAGTAGTAAGAGGCACCTTGATCGGTCTTTGTAAGAGGCAACTTCAACTTGATTGATCCGTAGGTAACTTGTATCGTTTGTTGTGAGAGGCGTCTTGATGGATCTCTCTCTCTCTATCTCTCACTCTCGCTCACTCACTCACTCACTCACTCACTCACTCACTCACTCACTCACTCACTCACTCCACACGCTCGCACGCACGCACGCACTCACTCACTCACTCACTCACTCACTCACTCACTCACTCACTCACTCACTCACTCACTCACTCACTCACTCACTCACTCACTCACTCACTCACTCACTCACTCACTCACTCACTCACTCACTCACTCACTCACAGGAGAGTCAGCTGAGTCACCTCCATGACTACATGATGACGGAGAAGTCCCTCAACCAGGCCTTCAAACTACAGCAGGAACACAATAAGCTCCAGGACAAGCTGAGGAAGCTGCTCACACGGACCTTCACTGATCGGCCAGGGGAACTGCAGCTTGCAGAGTGAGTACAGTGTCTGTCTTGTTTGATACATAGCCTTCACCCAATTACCTCCACAGCGACATGTTGTGTCAAGTGAAGATTATTATTATTATATTATTATTATAGGATATTTATATAGCGCAACTAGTGCATGCTCAAGGCGCTTGAAATACAGCTCTATTCTTTTTCAGAAGAAGTCCTCCTTGGACATATAAGCATTAAGATGTCCATTTTAAAATACCTACGACCGTTGTAACAATATTTCAATAAAATATTTTACCAAACAAAAACTGATTTTGTTTAGTGAGACCACCCCTACAGGGCCCCTCACAGGGCCCCCTACAGCCAAGAGCAGGTAACTCTGGCTGCTTACCTCGTACCTCACTTTTCATGCTGTCGTTGTCAAGAACGGTTGTGCATGATCCAGTAGAAGACACGTCTTCACCTATCTATGAAAGAGAAATGAGGGAGAAAGAGTCGAATTCTGTATGCATAGTTCCTTCTTTTTCGCACAGGCGCTAGCTGGAATCTTTGTATGACTTTTTTTATATGTACCCCAAGGAGGACTTTCTTCAAAGAATTCATAACCTCTACAGGTTTGTAAAAAGTGAATTGCTTTGTTCTTTCAAGATTAATGTAATATGTCATGATAGGGCTTACACATTGTACATTCCTAACTATCGTCAGGAAAGTTAAAATCTGTCTGGATTAATATTATGTAATGTTTTTGGGTAGAGTTTCTCAGTAAACACATTGTGCATTCCAAGCTAATGGCCATGGGAACCGCGCCAATTTAAATTTGTCAGGATTAATGTAATGTTCGGAGATACAATTTTTGGTAAACACATTGTGCATTCCAAGCTAATGGCCATGGGAACCACGCCAATATAAATTTGTCAGGATTAATGGAATGTTCGGGTATACAATTTTTGGTAAACACATTGTGCATTCCAAACTAATGGCCATGGGAACCGCGCCAATATAAATTTGTCAGGATTAATGGAGTGAGTGAGTGAGTTAAAATTCCAGGATTAATGGAATGTTTGGGGATACAATTTTTGGTAAACACATTGTGCATTCCAAACTAACGGCCATGGGAACTGTGTCAATATAAATTTGTCAGGATTAATGGAATGTTTGGGGATACAGTTTCTCAGTACACTTTTTACAGTCCCATTCTGTAAACCTGCCTGTGAGTTTGATGATGTTGTTACAGGAAGGTTATAGATGGTGAGTTGGAAGTGTTGCGTTCCCGAGCCACGCTGTACTCTCTGCTGGATGTGAAGGACAGACTCCAGGAGAACATCGAAGCTGCACAGAAAGCCAGGGAGAAGATGCACCTAGCGTACAAGAAAATACATGACTTCCAGCAGATAGCAGTGAGTAGCTCTGCTCTGTGGCAAAATAGAAGCATGCATTCTGTGCCTGTCGCCCTTTGGCAGTCCAGGGAGGTTAACTGTCTGACTCCGTGCTTGTCTTGCCTTGGCAGTCCAGGCATGTTACTCTCTGCGCTTTCTAATGTCTTCCCTGGGCTGTCCAGGGATATTGACTGACTGACTTTGTGCTTGTCTCCCTTTGGCAATCCAAGGAGGTTAATTGACTGACTGACTGCGCATTGTCTCCCCTTCATTGCCAACCCATATGATTTTATCGTATTTGTTACGAAAAAACAGCACAAAATACGCGACTACGATTGCAGTAAAAATATACGTTTTTTTCTTAAGATACATTAAATTAAATGATCAAATAGCATACCTACCAAACACAATAAATTTCAACCACATTTTATTCAGTTTCAAGTTATATGTGGATGCTTACTACTGATTTAGGTGAGTACAATGTTAATAAGTTCTTAGAATATCTAAAATATTTTTATTAAATCTGAAAATTCTTTGGAAAAGTTAATAGTTTGGCCAAAAAATACTAATTTCTGCATCAGTTTTTGGCCAAAATACTAATTTGGCTAAATTAGGGTTGGCATCTCTGCATTCAAAGCACATTAACCGTCTGACTTCATGCTTGTCTCCCCTTGGCAGCCCGACATTGACTGATTGACTGACTCTGTGCCTGGAATATCTAAAACATTTTTATTAAATCTTAATATCTAAAACATTTTTATTAAATCTGAAAATTCTTTGGTAAAGTTAGTACTAATTTTGACCCAAAAATACTAATTTCTGGATCAGTTTTTGGCCAAAATACTAATAGGGCTAAATTAGGGTTGGCATCTCTGCATTCAAAGCACATTAACTGTCTGACTTCAATCTTGTCTCCCCTTGACAGTCCGACATTGACTGACTAACTCTGTGCTGGTGTCTCTTTGCCAATCAAGGCATGTGAACTATCTGACTTCATGCTTGTCTCACCTTTGCAGTCCGACATTCACTAACTCTGTGCTTGTCTCCCCTTGCCATTCAAGGCACGTAAACTGACTGACTTTCGTGCTTGTCTTCCCTCAGCAGATTCAGTGATGTATGTCTTCATGCACAGATTCAGGATCGAATTGTCTCCCTTTAGAGATTCAGAATCAGAAAGGATCGCAGCACCCAATACTTGTTAAACATTGCAATAATTTCACAAAAACAACATTCACTCTATCAGTAACTGATTTGATATACATAAACTTTGATGTACAAAACATAATGCTTTGGTAAAACATAATATTGCCAATGTTGACGTAAAACAACATTCATTTACACTCTGAATCTGTTCCAGGACTCCAAGCAAAACCTGATTAGAATCTTGAGCAAGCAGAACCTGAACGCTCAGTCTCGACTGACTGCCCAGCAGTCCGAGGTACGTAGTCATACTGATTCCACCCCATCCAACTTCATCCAGATGTGTAACGATACATTGAGGCCGCATATGATACATGTTCAAGTAATTTGGATGTGATATGATTCCATACTGTACTTCTATTTCATAAGTCCATATTCTCTCCCCTGTGAAGATCCGTGTCAGAATTGGTCTTCAGTAGCCCATGCTTGTTGTAAGAGACAACTACAGGAATCAGGTAATCAGACCTGCTGACTTGGTTGACACTTGTCATCGATTATTAACAGATCGCCGCCTTATAGCTTGAATTTGCAGTAGTCCATTGAAAAAGATAACAACTTTTGTGCTGTATTTGTCATTGCAGACAATTAATTTTTCAACTATCTGAAACATAATTATTGTTTTCAAGCATTTTCACTGATTTGGTGTCAGTTGCTTTTGCTCCTGTCACCTGGGAAAAACATGTCTTCATTCATAACCTAACAATTGGAGATTTTATTTTCCGAATTGAATATTGGTTCAGTAAAATGTTTCATATTTACAATAAATTAATCCATTACTTCATAACTGTACATAGGCTTGTTGTTTTCATCACAGTGGTAAATGCTTGAAACCTGTCTAACTTCAGGGGTTTATTGGGTAGCCACATAGGTAAAGTGTTCGCTCGTCCTGCCAAAGATCCTGGTTTGATTCCCCACATGGGTACACTTTGTGAGGCCCTGTTCTGGTGTCCCCTGTCATGATTTTGCTCGAATATTGCTAAAAGTGATGTGTGGCAACGATACGCACTTCATAACCTCAAGCTTTACTCCATCATTAACAATACAAGATATTACGGAAATACATCTCCAAATGAGGATAAAAATGTCTCTCTCACTCAGTCACTCACTCGCCTGATTTCTTGCCCAATCTATTGGCCAACACTAGGGCACCGTCCAATCGTCTCTCTCACTCAGTCACCCACATCCACTTTTCCCCCAGATTCAGCAGTACATCCAGAAGTCCTTGTCCACTCATCTGGCCGACACCAGGGCACTGACCAATCAGTTGGAAGGGAGCGTGGCTGCGGAGATTGACCGATTCAGTGTGCTGTGTCTCCCTTACTTGTTACATGTGTACTTGGATGGGTAAGAACAAAGCTGTGCCTGTTGGCAGGGCTGTGCAATATTACTGGTAAACCGGTATATACTGGTACTGTATCACGCAATACGAATAGTCTGATATGGTTCAGATTCTGCAATATTTACTGTATCACGCAATACAAATATATTGTGATATGGTTCAGATCTGCAATAGAGTTGGTCGTCCAGAGTTAGCTCCCTATGAATTATCTGCCCTTGATTTCCACAGCAACAAAATGGCGGATACCCCCTTGCGAATTTGGGTTGATTTTGAATAAGCGTGCAAAAAGTAAAGGAAATATATCAAGCTCAAACAACGCCTGAAAGTATCGCAACTAAGAAGATGATGTCATACACAGAGAGCTATTATGAATTGATGACGTATGCACTTGGGCAGAAACCTTCCAGTCAATATACCACAATATGTATTGCAATATCCCTGAAATCAATGCAATATATCAATGTGTGAATCAGGGCAATATCCAGCCCTATTTGTTGGTTACTTTTCAAGTTGTTGCGTGTGTCGCCCATGAAGATCCGGGTTAGAATTGGTCTTCAGAAACCCATGCCTGTCGTAAGAGACGACTGACGGGATGGGGTGGTGAGACTCACTGACTTGGTTGTCACATGTCATTGTGATGTCATGTCGATCAGTGCTTATACTGTGGATCACTGGATTGTCTGGTCCAGACTTGATTGTTAACAGATCTCTGTCATATAGCTGGAATATTGCAGAGTGCAGCATTAAACAACAAGCACATTTTTAAAATATTGCTGGTGGAAAGGTAGAAATATCTATATAAATGTGATGGAGAAAGAAATTTTTGATACCCATAAACAAATTGATAACTCATCAATCCCCCATAGGTACCATTTTTACTTGCATTTGAATGCATAGATCTAATGAACAAAATTTGTAATAAAAAGGGTGTCTTACTTGGACAAGTGTAGCAATTTATTAAATACTCCCATGCATTTTACATCTTCTTTCAAATGAAGTTTGAAAAAATGTTTTGAAATATTTCTATTCAGGCCCCAGAGTGGGTATTCTGTATTTGTGTTCAGGCCCTGGAGTGTGTTTTCCGTGTTTGTGTTCAGGCCCTGGAGTGTGTTTTCTGTGTTTGTGTTCAGGCCCTGGAGTGTGTTTTCCGTGTGTGTGTTCAGGCCCTGGAGTGTGTTTTCTGTGTTTGTGTTCAGCACCAGTGTATGTATTACAGCTGATGAGTTATCTAAAGACTGTTCTCTTTATTTTCGTGAGACAGTAAAATGCCCATCTCTCTCCGAGATCAGGTATGAGAGAGAGGAACAAAGAAATCCATGTACCATTCATTCACACACTGTTGTCATACAGCTGATGTTGGAATTTTTAAACTCGCCTCACTCACCCACTTTTCACTGTGTTTTAGTGCCACGAAGGTCGGTCTCCTCAACCTGTCGGTTCACCAGACTGACCACCCATCTGTAGCTTCAGTCCGGCCGGCTCTCCACAAGACACTGGATGCCATACACTTCCCTAGTTACAAGGTAGACAACTCCTTGTGACTGTGAAAAGTCTATTGTAACAATGATTCAAACACTTGCCAGCTAGAAACAGGTGTTTTGATAGCCCGTCAGAGGCCAATATTTACGTTCAGGCCCCTGAGTGTGTATTCTATATTTGTAATCATTCTCTGGTGTGGGAATTCTGCATGTTTTATCTGTACCCAGAGTGCATGTTCTATTTTTGTGTTCAGGCCCTGGACTGGGTATTCTATATTTCTTTTCAGGCCCCAGAATGTGTATTCTATATTTCTTTTCAGGCCTCTGAATGTGTATTCTGTATTTCTGTTCAGGACCAGAATGTGTATTCTGTATTTCTGGTCAGGCCCAGAATGTGTATTCTGTATTTCTGGTCAGGCCCAGAATGTGCATTCTGTATTTCTGGTCAGGCCCCAGAATGTGCATTCTGTATTTCTGGTCAGGCCCCAGAATGTGCATTCTGTATTTCTGGTCAGGCCCAGAATGTGCATTCTCTATTTCTGTTCAGGCCCCAGAATGTGCATTCTCTATTTCTGTTCAGGCCCCAGAATGTGCATTCTGTATTTCTGTTCAGGCCCCAGAATGTGTATTCTGTAATTCTGTATTTCTGGTCAGGCCCAGAATGTGTATTCTGTATTTCTGGTCAGGCCCAGAATGTGCATTCTGTATTTCTGTTCAGGCCCCAGAATGTGCATTCTGTATTTCTGGTCAGGCCCCAGAATGTGCATTCTGTATTTCTGGTCAGGCCCAGAATGTGCATTCTCTATTTCTGTTCAGGCCCAGAATGTGCATTCTCTATTTCTGTTCAGGCCCAGAATGTGCATTTTCTATTTCTGTTCAGGCCCCAGAATGTGTATTCTGTATTTCTGTTCAGGCCCCAGAATGTGTATTCTGTATTTCTGTTCAGGCCCCAGAATGTGTATTGCCATGGTGTATGGAGCTAATGCAGGAGCTGAAACTAAATGAGCAGATTACCCAGTCTCTGGAGCAGGCTGATCGCAAGTCCAGGCACAAAGATGACAACGTACTGGAGGATATTGCAGGTTAGTAAAGGGATATCAGCAGCCTATACTTGTTATAAAAGGTGACTAACGTGATCAGGTGGTCAGGCTCGCTGACTTGGTTGACACATGTCTTTGTATCCCAGTTTTGTAGATCGATGCTCATGCTGTTGATCACTGGATTGTCTGGTCCAGACTTGTTTATTTACAGACTGATGCCATAGAGCTGGAATATTGCTGAGTGCAGTGTTAAACAACAAACAAACCTGTGCTATGTGCTATGTCTAACATCAAGCTTATCAACTAGTGATTTCCGACTTTGTGTGTTTACAGCTATTATACTGCCCAAAGTTAATGGTAACTTTTCTATTTTTCCAGTGTTTCAACTTCCACATTTTAGTTGAACTTGTTTGCACACTGCATTAACCCCACATGTCGATATCAGGATCTGAACCTGTTAAAAGATATTGATGAACTATGAAATTCCATCACACTTTTTAAAATAAAAGGGGATTCGTGGGTCTTGAGGTTTTCCCGTAAAATACACTTTAAGTTTAAATCTGTTTATTTGTGAGAATATAATGAGCCTGCGATGTGATAGCATCCGATGATAAGGGCGGATGTTCTGCACCATTGTATGAATGTTCTGTGCTGTTGCGTTAAGGTTGTGTGAATGTTTTGTCCTGTTGTATAAATATTACGTGCTGTTGTGTAAATATTACATGCTGTTGTGTAAATGTTACGTGCTGTTGTGTAAATGTTACGTGCTGTTGTATAAATGTTATGTGCTGTTGTGTTAAGGTTCTGTGCTGTTGTGTTAAGGTTCTGTGCTGTTGTGTGGATGTTATATGAGGTTCTGTGAATGTTCTGTGCTGTTGTGTGAATGTTGTTCGTGTGAATGTTCTGTGCTATTGTGTGAATGTTTTATGAGGTTGTGTTAAAGTAATATGCTGTTGTGTGAATGTACTGTGCTGTTGTGTGAATGTTATATGAGGTTGTGTTAAGAATTGAATGTCAGTTTGTGTGTTTGCACTGAAAAATGCCATTGTGTGAATGTTGTTCAAATGTCGCATTGTGTGAATGTTAGTGAATGTTCTGTGCTGTTGTGTGAAAGTGAGTGTGAATGTTATAAGAGGCTGTATTAAACGCTTCAAACCCTGAGAGTAGTTCCGCAAAAGTTCATGACCCAGATGTATTCGAAAACGTTCACACACGTTGTAACGATGTTTATTGTTATGAACGATTTGAAGGGTTCAAAGGAAATGAACCTTGAAAATTTAGATCACATGACCACTCTCTCAACCAACCAACGCTGAATCTGTGTGAAACTTCATGAGTACCTAAATTATTTAAAGTTATATGCTGTTGTGTGAATATTCTGTGCTGTTGGGAACCCGTGAAGGTGTTAGAATGAGCCTTCAGTAATCCATGCTTGTCGTAAGAGGCGACTAACGGGATTGGGTGGTCAGGCTCACTGGCTTGGTTGACACTTGTCATCGGTTCCCAATTGCACAGATCGATGCTCATGCTGTTGATCACTGGATTGTCTGGTCCAGACTCGATCATTTACAGACCGCCGCCATACAGCTGGAATATTGCTGAGTGCGGCGTAAAACTAAACTCACTCACTCACTCACTCTGTGCTGTTGTGTGAATGTTATATGAGGTTGTGTGAATGTTCTGTGCTGTTGTGTTAAGGTTCTGTAAATGTTATATGAGGTTGTGTGAATGTTCTGTGCTGTTGTGTTAAGGTTCTGTGCTGTTGTGTGAATGTTATATGAGGTTGTGTGAATGTTCTGTGCTGTTGTGATAAGGTTCTGTAAATGTTATATGAGGTGTGAATGTTCTGTGCTGTTGTGTTAAGGTTCTGTGCTGTTGAGAGAATATGTGCTGTTGTGTGAATGTTATATGAGGTTGTGTGAATGTTCTGTGCTGTTGTGTTAAGGTTCTATGCTGGTGGGAGAATATGTGCTGTTGTGTGCATGTTATTTGAGGTTGTGTTAATGTTATGTGCTGTTGTGTTGTGTGAATGTTATGTGCTGTTGTGTGAATGTTCTGCACCATTGTGTGAATATTCTGCATCTTTATGTGAATGTTCTGCACCATTATGTGAATGTTCTACACCTTTATGTGAATGTTCTACACCATTATGTGAATGTTTTACACCATTATGTGAATGCTCTGCACTGTTGTGTTTTTGTTCTGCAAATTTGAGTGAGCTTTCACATTTGTATTGAGCAACTTTTGCACCAAGATTTTCCTTTCCTTTGGTGTTGTTTTCTGCTGAACTGAATTTGTTGTGACTTAATCTTCTGTCAACATCTTCCTCTCAGAAACAAATGGGGGGCGGTGGGGTAGCCTAGTGGTTAAATCGTTGGTTCGTCACGCCGAAGACCCGGGTTCGAATCCCCACATGGGTACAATGTGTGAAGCCCATTTCTGGTGTCCTCCGCCGTGATGTTGCTGGAATATTGCTAAAAGCGGCGTAAAACCAAACTCAGTCTGTCAGTCAGTCAGTCAGAAACAAATGGAGCAGTGTAATGAAAGTTTGCTTTGTCGATTCACATATGTTTTCTACTTGTTTTGACAATTCCTCAAAATGAAGTTTTGGCTCTGTGAACATAAGCCATGAGTCTCTCATTATGTTCCGTCTTTGATGACATTCAGTAATTGCCAATATGATGTCACTGCTAACTAATGACAGAAGTTTTACTGAAGTTAGAGTCACAGATTGCAGACTTGCCTCCCTTACTCAACACAGGATCTGTGGATTTTGGGTTTTAATCCCAGATTTAGTTCTTGTCCTTGGTATGTCAGAACCATCATGGTATCCAGTTCATGTTATTAGCATAGAGGGACACAGATTGAGAGAAAGAAGTCAGGTCTCTCTCTTTGCCCAGGTACCCTGGTCACTTGACTGTGGCTTTATCCTTGGTCCAGACTGAATTAGAGACATGGGGAACACAGAGAGACTTTAAAATAGACTAAGACAGTCATAATGGTGAGTGGGGTAGCCTAATGGTTAAGACATCCACTCATCATCCTGAAGGTTCCTTACATGGGTACTATGTGCAAAGCCCATTCTGGTGTCCCCCGCCATGATATTGCAGGAATATTACTTGAAGCAGCTTAAGACTATACTCACTCACTCACTTATTGCTAAGATTACCCGTGAAGGTCCAGGTTAGAATGAACCTTCAGTGACCCATGCTCATCATAAGAGGCGACTTACGGGATTGGGTGGTCAGACTTGCTGGCTTGGTTGACACATGTCATCGGTTCCCAATTGCGCAGATCGATGCTCATGCTGTTGATCACTGGCTCCCAATTGCGCAGATCGATGCTCATGCTGTTGACCACTGGATTGTCTGGTCCAGACTTGATTATTTGCAGACCGCCTCCATATAGCTGGAATATTGCTGAGTGTGGCGTAAAACGACACACACTCACTCACTATTGCTAAGATTATTTTGTACTACGGTACTCTGATTATGCTTATAGGTTTGTATGTGCCTGTTGGTATGTATGTATGTGCCAGCTTTTCTCCTGACAACTGATGTCCTCTTCAAAGCATAGTTTAGATAAAACTAACTGACTCCATGGTTTTGTCTTCCAGAGGGGGTGGTGGGGTAGCCTAGTGGTTAAACTGTTGGCTTGTCACGCCGAAGACCTGGGTTCAATTCCCCACATGGGTACAATTTGTGAAACCCATTTCTGGGGGGCCCCTGCAATGACATTGCTGGCATATTGCTAAAAGTGGTGTAAAACTCTCTCACTCTTCCAGAGCTGAGGTCGGCTGTGACTGAGCAGGACAGGAAGCAGGTGGAAAGACTACTTCCTATTCTCAACAAGAGGTTGACTCTTGCCGGGGATGGACTCGGAGACTCTCTGCAGGCACACGCGGCTCTACAAGACTGGTATGTATTTTTACTCTGTGGCCAAATGTAGAGATAGCATCAAAATCCGGTAATATGACACACCCAGCCTTATCCCCCATACTGCATGTCTTGACCATGTTGAACACCAGTGCTTGTTGCCGTCTATTAGATCATGTGGTTACGGTAATACTCGTGCTGCTGGTCTATGAACTTGTGATCACTGTTTCAACCTTGTAAACTTGTATGTTTTGAGTAACCTGATACATTCCGTGGCTAGTTCCCGTTCACCAAGAATATTTGGAGTGTGGGAGGTGTCATACTAATTTGTGGATAACACTTTTACTGCTGCTGAGAGATCCTAAAAGATAGGCCAGATGCTAGAAATATCCCTAAGACTATTTTGTCGTTCATGTAATATGACTTACCGACCATAATTTTGTAAGAATAACGGTGTCTTTAAAGCAAGTAAACAAAATGGTACAACAAAATCCTTGGTTTCTCATTGCCTGGACTCATGTGGTACAATGGAATCCTTGGTTTCTCATTGCCTGGACCCAGGTGGTACAATGGAATCCTTGGTTTCTCATTGCCTGGACCCATGTGGTACAATGGATTCCTTGGTTTCTCATTGCCTGGCCCATGTGGTACAATGGATTCCTTGGTTTCTCATTGCCTGGACCCATGTGGTACATGGGAATCCTTGGTTTCTCATTGCTTGGACCCATGTGGTACAATGGAATCCTTGGTTTCTGTTAGCGGGGACTCATATAGTAATACAACAGAATCCTTGGTTTCTCTTTGCCTGTACCGAGGTGGTTCAATGGAATCCTAGATTTCTTTTGGTCAAGGCCCAGGTAGTACAACAGTATCCCATGTTTTTACTATGGTGGTACATCCCAGGTATGAACCTAAGTCTGTTGGCACCAACCCTCAAGTGTAAGCAACTCTGACAGCAGTATGGGTGAACCTGTTGTAATGTCATACATCCATTCAAAAACGGATTGACCACATGGGTGGATGGACCTATTGTAAATTCACAAATGAAAATGCCCTGGAACAAGTAAATCAAAATATAATTAGACAAATATTGGCTGCAATGAAACAATCATATAAGAAAAACACATCTGGCTTCTATTGACCTCACTCAAGCATTTCTCTTCAGAGATTTCCCAAGAATGAAATTGCACAATCAACTGACACCACAATTCACCCTTCCAGTAAAGTTGGTCAGCTGAACTTGTAACACACCACAAATCTCAGTGTTATAAACACATGTTTACTTGATATTGATAGATTTAGGTCTTTGATTGGCATTTAGAAGTTATGCATTAGGGCTGGATATTGCCCTGATTCTCATATTGCGATATATTGCAATAATTTAAGAGATATTGCAATACATATTGTGATATATTGACTGGAAGGTTTCTGTCCAAGTGCATACATCAAAAATTCATAATAGCTCTCTGTGTATGACATCATCTTCTCAGTTGCTGTTACACCATACTTTCAGGCTCCCCGTCCCCTTTGTGTATGGTTGTATGCCAATGGTTTGCAGATAAATAAAATGATATAGAGCCTTAATGTAGAATGTTAAATTGAAGTACTGTACTACATCAACGTTTTGCGAATATAATGATGAAGGTAATAGTATAACATGATTTTCATGGTCAGTGTTGTTTGCTTCAACAGAATGCACTTCAATGCAGTATGTAATTATTGTTAATCAGTGATTCATTCAGATTCAACGCCAATATAAACATGTGTTAACATGAACTATTGCTAACTGAAACAAAAACATGATCTAGGTGAACTACTTGAGCTTACAATCTCACGTGACCTCCAATAACTAACATCCTTGACTAGAATGGCATTATACAGTCCTACAAAATTTATAAGACTTTGGCCTTTAGGATAAATTGATAACAAAAATAACAAAACAACGTGAACTGTGAAATGGTCTCTCAGAGCCAGAGGTTCTACAAATAAGTCCAAATAAATGATTGCTCAAATCTTTTAAGGACATTTAGATATTGAATGCATAAGAAAAGCAACATTTATGGATGTCAACTTCTTTATTGTGAATAACACGACGTTTTGGAGTGTATGCTTGCTTCTCCATGACTTGATCAATGACCTGATGAAGGAGCAAGCATACGCTCCGAAACGTTGTGTTATTCACAACAAGAAGTTGACATCTTGACAAACCATAAATCTTGCTTTTATTAAAAGATTGGTCCATTTGAGGCCACTTAATTCCTCCAAAACGTCACATATGAAACCATTCAAACCCACAAAACTGAAATCATTGGGTAGAATATTTGGCAATTTTGGTGCCACTTATAAATACATTTCCACTTGTAAAATGTTACATGAAACCAACAGAAAAAAAAAGTATATTTGGCACTTTTAAAGCACATTTTGTTGTTATGGAAATAAGGGCAGATAATTCAAAGGGAGCTAACTCTGGATGACCCAATATATTGCAGAACCCAAACCATATCGCGATAATCGTATCGTATCACGTATATACCGGTTTACCGGTAATATTGCACTGCCCTATTATACACATAAGGAAGAGAGTTTTATGGATGTCGACTTCTATATTATGAAGAACACAACGTTTCGGAGTATGTCCTTACTCCTTCATCAGGTGAATGGATGGTATGAGGCAGAGAGCATGTATATGTACTTGTAAGAACAACAAAAGTAATAAGACAACTAAGGTGGAGGCTAAACAATGGAAGCCAACAGTCAACTGGTGTTGATGTGTGATTGGCAAAGGGCAAATGGACGCCAACTTGTAACAGTTGATTAGTGCTGAATAGATGCCAGCAGGTAAATAGTGCTGGTAGGTGATGAACAGTGGACAGCTGGGATTAGATATAGGCAATGGACAAAGGGCAAATGGGTAAGAGCACTTATAACAGCGCCTTGTTTTCGTCCGTTAAAAAATACAAGTTGTGAGGCCGATACGTTTATTTTTGGTCTACGTGTTGAACACCCTGAAAGAACATAAGGAAATATAATGGAATCACATAAATATGTACTTGCTCGAATCACTCATTAAGTCTATAAAATACACCTAGTTGAACTACATCTGAACTATGTCACAAGTTATAATGTTACATAATATTAATACAAATATACAACGATCATAAAGACATACTGTTGGTATCTTTAGGAAATATTATAGTAAATATATTTCTGGTATACATATAGGGATTCTGGTCAGGTGTTATATACCAGGTTGGTTGTACCCAAGCTGATACGGAGGATATTCTTCTGAATGATCACAGATCTTAAATCGTCTTAAAATTCCCATGACTTTAGCTATATCTTTTCTTCAGTAGTACAAGACGGCATCCGAGTTTAAAATCTTAACATTGTAGTTAAGCTGTGGTCAGCTTGACCTATCAGTGAAACAATAGAAATGACTGAGAGCTGGGGCAAGGAGTGTTGTAAGCATGCAGTATGACAATTAGTGGAGGTTAGACTGAGAGTTACAAGGCTTACTAAAGACACTCACTCACTCATTCCTTACGTACCCCCCGCCTATTTTATAAAGTACTTTTTCATTACTTGTATATCTTTGCATTTTTAAAAAAATTAGGTGGGGGCTACGTAAGGAACTCTAACCAATCTTCCTAACTATAAACTATGTACACATATATGTAAATATTTGAGTCTGACACACACTAATGAACCGTCTCCGTGGTGTAGTGGTTAAAGCGTCCGCCCGGAGAGTGGAAGGTCGCGGGTTCGATACCCGACCTCGCATACCAAAAGACGTTAAAATGTGGTACTTGTTGGTCTCTGCCTGGCGCTCAGCATTAATGGGTACAACAAGGACTGGTCGGCTCGGAGTCAGTATAATGTGTCTGAGTGGGGTATTCATGCTTCACTGCGGCATGGTATCTCAGTGGGCTATCACTATAAAACCAGCTTCAGTCTGGGCAAGTACAAGCAGCCGCACATACACATACACACGCATGCACGTCGTCATATGAGCGAAATATTCTCGAGCACAATGTAAAACCCAGTTTCACCTCACCTCACACACTAATGGATAAATGCAATAGAGACTGACAAATTGAGGCCAGAACAAACAAATGGAAGCCAGAACAAAATAATTAGCACCGACATTTATATAGCAGCAAGTACAGACAACAATCACACAAAGCATTCATAGCATTCATTCACCTGCTGGAGGAGTAAGGATATACCCACGAAACGTTGTGTTCCTCATAATAAAGAAGTTGACATTCATAAAACTCTTCCTTCAGATTTGGTGTCAACAAAATGGAATGGTTGAGGTTCTCAATTTGTGTTTTTCCTGTGTAGGTGGGATCAGCCAGCACAGAGTTGTGTCCCTTGGGTGAAGGTTGACAATCACACATACAAGGAGTGGCAGGATAGATGGAAGGTCATGGTCACTAGACTGGTCCAGCTGCAGGTTCAGAGGTAGACTGCGTTACCCCCTAGGCTGCTGCACACAAGACATGACTTCCCAGAACTAACAAGGAAAACCTGGCTGATCACTATTGGACATTCCTGACAACTCTGGAGAGACTGAACAAGCCATATGATACAGAATGTATAGTCCTTAATGTTATCAGTGTGATAGCAATGAGCTTGTAAATTTAGCTGTGTTGCTGAGATTTGTCAATCTATTGACAGTTATTCTATACTGAAAGGCAAAAGAAATGTCGTAATATTGGAAATGACATTTAAGTATCAATGGAACATTTGAACCTGTTTGTTTAAAATAATACGCCACTGAAATGCAGTACCGACTTTCATCAGAGAAGATAACCCCTCTCCATTGTCCCCCACGACAGTTTTGCCGCTGTTGTGTCCACTTGGATACGTTCCCGGCGGTGACGTTGGGTGAATATGGGTCTCCTGGCAGGACATCGACAAAACAGGTTCCTGGCTTGGAGACGTCGCCGAATGGTAGGTCACTGACTGGTCGCTGGTGGTTTCCTATGGTCACCCAAGCTGTTTCTCTGGCCCTTGCGAATAGGTCTTGCACGCGGTTGATGGACGATATGACGGTCCTGGCGACGTGTTGTTACATCGGGTTGACCACCACGTGGACGGTCATCAGTGCTGCTGGTGGCGTTGGATCGCACTCTAAGACGTTCTATCGTTCGTATGCTGCAACTGAAGTCATTAGCAATGACTCGAGCATGTTGACAAGCGTGCAGACGTCCAATAGCTTGTTGTGGTTGATCTCTCGTTAACCTAGTCATAGCTGCTGTGTTCAGAAAACAAGTGAACGATTGCCATTCAAGCCGGCAATTTATGCCTGAATGCATTTATGAGGCACGTGCATCTCGATTTCAATGTTGTGTTTGTGGGAACTTTTCCCTCTCCAAAAAAAACAAAAACATTTCTAACTTCAATCTCAAACAATACTTTATTGGGCAATGCAGGCTATACGACCACGATTCGTGTTTCCTCAAACTTGACTTCTGGTGTATATTTAAAAAAATAGGTTCAAATACTCCATTGATACTCAAATGTCATTCCTAATATTACGACGTTTCTTTTGCCTTTCAGAATATTTCAATATGACTAAGAAACAGACTCTTGTGTTCCTTGTTTTTTTAGAAGACAATATGTATCTCCATTTTAATAACAATGTCATGCATATATTCACCATTGGTTTTAGTTCTGATTCCTGAAAGTTTATAGTTCAGATTTAATCCTGAGAATACGTCAGGATCATGTGATTTTCTTTCTCCACTTATAAGCAGCAGAATTTTTGCACAGCACACTTAATTGAAAATTAACATGTCTCTTCTAGTTTCAACAATGTCAGTGAATGCCTGGATTGTCAGGAGGTGGTAGGGTAGCGTTGGCTCGTCAAACCGAATACCTGGGTTCTGGTGTCCCTGGCTGGAATATTGCTAATAGGGACGTAAAACCATACTCACTCACTGGATTTTCAGTCACATGGCAGAGGTATTGCTGCAAGGTCCAGACGACAAGAACCTTATTGTAATTGTGTGAGTTTGTTTGTGTTTAACTCTGTACTCGGCAATACCGCGTCAGTCTGTAAATAATGGAGTCTGGACCAGACAATCCAGTGATCAACATCATGGATCTACTCAATTTGCGATGATGTGTCAACCAAGTCACCTGATCCTGTTAGTGTAAGTTGCCTTTTACTACAGAATCGGTTGCTGAAGACAAATTCTAACCTGGATCTTTCGGGGGTTACTGTGTGAGTGGCAGGTGCAACCAGTAGGGTTGAACATGCTTTCCTTGTTTCATGAACCTCATTTTCTATGACTTCATACTTATTTAACCGCTATGCCAGAAATAATTGCTTTAGCAGCACGAAACCCATGTGAAGTGAGTGCTCTCCCTTGGCATGACCAAAAATCTGTATGCCGAGGCTTGCAACTAGAGAGGGGGAAACATCGGGCGATGGGATAGCCTAGTGGTTAAAGCGTTCGTCACAACAAAGACTTACATTAACCAGAATTTCTGTGACTTCATTCATATATTTTTTACAGCTATGATGGAGATAATTACTTAAGTCGTATGGTACGCATGTGGATTGGCTTCCCTTGGCATGACCAAAAATGTGTATGCTGAGGCTTGCAAAACTCCAGTGGACATAGTCAGTTCTGATATTTCTGGCTGACATGTATCGTAAGCACCATATTATCAGTTATTAATCACTGTTTTAACTCTATGTTCACAAACATTATTCTGCCTTTGATGCCCAGGTACATCTGTTTCCCCCAATGATTGTGAATGATTATTCCCTTTCTTTCATGTTTTTTGTATATATTTTTTGTAGTTTTGAATATAATCCTCTTAAAGTGAATGGCTACATAACCCGTGAAGATCCGGGTTAGAATTTGTCTTCAGCAACCCATGCTTGTGGTTAGAGTCGACTAACGGGTGGTCGGGCTCGCTAGCGGGGCGGTGGGGTAGCCTAATGGTTAAAGCGTTGGCTCGTCACGCCGTAGACCCGGGTTCGAATCCCCACATGGGCACAATGTGTGAAGCCCATTTCTGGTGTCCCCCGCCGTGATGTTGCTGGAATATTGCTAAAAAGCGGCGTAAAACCAAACTCAGTCAGTCAGTCAGTCGGGCTCGCTTGCTTGGTTGACACATATCGAATGACATCATAGATCGATGCTCATGTTCTTGCTCACTGGATCGTCTGGTCCAGACTCGATTATTAACAGACCGCCGCCATATAGCTGGAATATTGCTGAGTGCGGCCCTAAACAACATAACAATCAGCAACAGAACCTGCATCGTTAACGCAGGCAGCTGTAGACATGCTTGGCTGGATACCGTTTTCCCGCAGGTGTTGCTCTTCGATTGATTCGTCCCACGAGAATGTGTGTATTGGCTGGTGTTTACCGATGTGATACATTTATGACAGGAATTCAATGAGAATGTGCACACCTGAAAGGAAATACCTTAGTAAATCGATACATGAAGTATTAACTAAACAATACCACCAGGTTACCTTTAGATTTCAAGGTTGACGACTACAAACCATCTGGCGATCGGGTATATGTTCAATACAGATGACATTTCACTCAATAAGTTGATTCTGCACCTGTCTATTTAAAAGGTATAAGGAAAACATGGCAGGATATGTGCTTTCGTGGCTCAAAACGGAGATTTATGTACCAGGTTGTTTCCACCATGTTTCCATTTCAGTCGAAGATAATTGATTCTAAACCTATCAATTATTTAAACTGTACAAAAAACATAGCATAAAAATGTGTTTTTGTAGCAGGATAGGGGTGGTACTCTTGATTGAAAACCAACGCCTGCTGGGGTGTGAACTGTGCGCCACAAGTTTATTGCTCAATATATATTTTTTGTTTTCACCCTTTAACTTAGTAAACAGAATGATTTCCGCCCGTAACCCCGCATTTTAAAAAATCATTCTATGCCTAAGAATATAGGCCTGTTGTTTTTATAAAAAGCCTTATCCTAACGCTAAACCCCAACCCGTCGAAATAATCCTAATAAATAGAATACATTTCAAGCGGATTACGGGCGGAACTCTTACCGTTACAGGTACTAATAATAATCTTATATCTGTCACAATATACTCAATGTGATTAATATCACTTAAACTGCATCAATTCCAAGAAGACGTGAGTAATAAACACATGCAGTTCACCAGAAGATTATATAGATTATCCAGCAGCAAAATAGCACAATGATAATCATGATAGAAAATGTATAACTCTCCACACATATTTGTTGCAATGATATATATGAGACCCGTGAAGATCCGGGGTAGAATAGGTCTTCAACAACCCATGCTTGCCACAAAAGGCGACTATGCTTGTCGTAAGAGGCGACTGACGGGATCGGGTGGTCAGACTCGCTGACTTGGTTGACATGTTATCGGTTCCAATTACGCAGATCGATGCTCATGACGTTGATCACTGGATTGTCTGGTCCAGACTCAATTATTTACTGACCGCCGCCATATAGCTGGAATATTGTTTAGTGCGGCGTAAACTAAACTCACTCACTCACTCAGTGATATTTATATGAAATATAAACACATTAAAAGGATAACCACCTACGAAATATATGGTACTCAGGTGATAGTGAGCATCGCCTACCTTAGTGAAACAGCATGTCCATCTATAAGTGATCTAACATACTATTAAGTATATTATGCTAACTTCATCATATAAGTTATTTGCTTCTCTCGAGGGTTATACGGTCTGATGTACGCCTCTTTGTAGCAGTGTCATGCCTCGACTACCGGCTCGGGTGACACTGTTACAAAGAGGCGTACATCAGACCGTATTACCCGAGGAAGAAGCATATAACGTATTTATCTTACCGCCATGTTAAATGTACAAAACATTTTATTTAATGTGAAAAGATCGCGACCGACTATATGGCATGTAAACAAAATGGCGTCTGCCTCTCGACTGGATTTTTAAAATCAGTGAAACATATTCTGAGAAGCTTAAATCTGCTATAAAAATGGTTAATTATGTTTAAGTTGAGTGTGCAAACCACTCAATGAATAAAATAGCTTAAATAAAGCATTGAAAGTCGGTAAAATAAATATGTACAAAGTGAACACAAAAACAGCTGATCGAACGGTTTTCGTCATACGATTGTTAGCACTTCAGCTTCTCGGCGGTTTCCGTGGCAGCGGGTAATATTTTTTCCAGTTGTCCCCGTCCTGGGAGGGGTGACACGGAAACTTCGTAAAGCGTCATTGACCAATGAAATTAAAGTATTTTACATGAAGGTAAGATAATAAAACATATCACGCTATGCGATGACAATTCTAAATGCATGCTATTGCATAATCATGATAATGGCGTAAATAAACATATACATCTATAATATATGTATACGTTACCAGCACAGCATTGTCTGTGTTGTGATATCCTTACAGATATATACAATAAACATTTATTAAAATCATATGGGATTGCAAATGGCACAATCATTACATGTACCAACAAGTATACATGGCCGACAAAGATGGCTGCTGAGCAGGCACATAAGATAATGTGTTGCCTGACTTTGTCGTACACATGAACATATGCCTATAAACATTATTTTACACTAATCCTAAAAAACATTCATACCTTCACGTAACACAATATTAAAACCTAAGCAATAATAATGTTTGTGATGTAACTATACATAAATAT